AAAGCAAATAGAAAATATTTCACGCACATTAATTATTCGTCTCAGACGTATTGAAGTACAAATATTTTGATACGAACCTCGATGAAAGCTTTTCCCAGACTTAGCGAACCACGGCAGCCTAGCTCCCTGTCCGACTCACATTTGAAGTAAGCAATAGTGCCATTTTGTAAAACGACATATCTGTCCTGCCAGCCGTGGATGTAGTTAGTCCACTTCGATAAATAGCCCTCCTTTTCGACAAGTCGCTCTTTCGCCTGAGCGGCTCCAGTTTCGTCTTCATCTTCGTCGGTTATACTGAGGCTGTGTTCGTCAGACATATTCAAAACGGTAGTTTAATATATGGTCTATTTGTTCATACGGCGAAAGGCTTGATTTTTAAGCCCTACAAGCCGAAACGAGTTCAAATATTTCGGGTAAACAACTCGACCGCGAAACCCTCCCGGTCGCCATATTGGCCTTCGTTCCGTCTACCCGTCCAAGAAACTAGGAGCCTGGAAACAAGGTTGATTTATGCCACAATGCGCCCTGATGCGCACCGTACCGATAGACTTTACTCTGATTTCCCTGTGGTCGTAAAATTGTCGCAAAAATAGAATTACGATCTTTCTCAATGGCCAGTTTATAACAGTTTGTGCCTGTAAACCACATATATTATAAATCATAAGTATTCTCTAGTTATAATCACTCCGCGTATTTTCAGTTCTAAAATATTCAGTATTTCGGCTGATGAGACTGAGATCGTGACTCAATCTTTACGACCGTTACGACCATATATATGGAAACCAGGCTTTTGAAATGATGTACATGAAGTACAGGTTTCTGAAAGGTATTCATTCAGTAACTAGCTGAAACTGCAAGTTAGAACGACATTCACATATATACACAAACCGACCAGAATTTGCTATTAGTTCCATCAGTCTATTCATGTTTCACGCCTTCAGTCCTCAAGGAACAATTTTGACGTACGATACATTTTATGATGGTTAGTCACCCGAATAAGTTAATATTAACGCTTATAATTATAAAATTACTCGGAAGCCCCCTCCCACTGTGTACGGCCCTGAACTCGTGAGATGTTGCTTGAAGGGTGAAAATGACATTTCAAAAGTTGAATTACCTTAGTTTGATTCCAGGTGACAGTAAAAAGTTCATTCAAAGGACAGTTGGCAATAAAAAATTAGTTTGTCTCATTCAAAAGAACTTTAAAATTATTTCAAAAACTCATTAATAATTCATGAAGCAATTATCCAATCTTGAGTAAGAAATTAGTCACGTGCATACGTCTTTATACCAGCTAAAGAACACTTTAACAAAAGACCATTGTTAAGCAAACTATATAAAGATTTTTATATAAAGATTTTTATATAAAGATTTTTATATAAAGATTTTTATATAACGATTTGACTTATTATGCAAATGTTTTTGAAGTCATTTAAAAAACTCGCAGGTCGTGTTTTATTTATAGGTCTAAAGCAACTCGCGCTGCGCGCTCGTGGCTTTAAACCTAATAAAACACCCCTGCTCTTTTTTAAATAGTACTTAAAAAACTCATTAATAATTCATGAAGAAAACACAAAGAAAAATCATAAGCGTGTCGTATCTGTATATGTGATACAGATTCATGTTGATTTACATAAACTTTAACTTTCTCGGCTTAGACAATGTTTATTTTTAAAATTACTTCGCCAATGAGCTCATAAGATGAGTAGTTTTTTTAAGTCATTTCGCGTCCGTGTTGTATCAGACATACAAACTCTCGCCTTCGGCTCGAGTTTGTATATCCGATACAACACGGCCGCTCATGTTGTAAATAGTACTTATTAAATTCTACTACCGATTTGTCATATCTTGCTTAGTTCTTGAAATATTTAGACCGAAATTAATGAGCTGCCCGCCATCTTGGACTAATTCTTGATCTCATTATAACTATGGTTTTGATGACGTCAGGAGTTGGGTTAACCGTGGACATAAAACTACTCTAAAATGACCGAGTAACTATCCAAAATTGTTTGAAACGTTTTTAATCATTTCTAAATTTCAGACAGCAACCAGAAACGAAATTTTGGACCCATATTGATCGCTTACTCTCAAGATAAAAAAATTAGCGTGACCCCTCTCTTGACGTAACATGCATATCCTCAATAATCCATGCAAGATGGCGAACAGCTCACTTTTTCCAGTCGAAATATTTTGAAAACTAAGCAAGATATAAACAATCTGTAATAGAGTTTAATATATAGTTTTAAGAGTTCTTTCAAATGAACTAAACTAATTTTCTACTGTCAATGTCCTTCAAACGATCTTTCCTGGTCAAGAAAAAATTTTCGTGACATGATTCATCCAAGCCGGGTTCATATGACCAGCCCATAAATTTTGGTTTGCCAATAAAACAAATATAAATTTGTACATTTTAATAAAATAAGTAATGAAAGTATTTACAAATTTATTAACTCATGGTACCCTCCTAGTTCTAGGGCCGTAGAGCTTTATGAATATTTAACACAGTTAATGTTCCATTTTTAGACCCCATCAAAGTTCCATTTCTCGTAAGGTTTTGAATCGTCCAGTTGATGTTCCACTGGCGTGCTGAACGCAGCATTCTTTCGGAATGGAGTATCTTTGGTTTGCACTTGACTCACACCCTGTAAAACAGTACAAACAGGCCTTAAAATATCGTTTACAGGACCGTCTGACAAAATGTCCGATGACTTTTGAGTTTTGGTCAGACATATATGTATGTGCGGATGTCCGATGACCTTCAGTTCAGTTTGTCTCAGAAATAGGTCTGAATGACACAACTATTAATATCAACACAATGTATTAGTTCTGAACTAAATGTTGTGAAGTTATTAACCCATTAAGCTGCAGAGCTTCCCCATTGACGAGTAAAATCGTCTGGCGTTAAACAAGTAACAAAAATAAGTACAGGACGCACTTGGGCGCATTGCGGTCCAATGGGTTAAATAATTTGTATCATTCATACTTATTTCCAAACCAAACTGATTAACTTGTTTGCCAATAGCAGTGGTAAGACTTCGGCAACTTAAGCCCGTTTTCCACTTCACCATTTTTCGGTCGCAACTCCGCGCTTGATTACATTAAAACATCATTTCCGGTTCACTTTTTATACATTACTCTGATTCTCCATTTAACATACAAGCCTGTAGTCCTGGACTAGGGTACATTTTGATTTACGTTGGACAAAGTTACAGTTAGGTCGGACACCAATTCACTCGGGTCGGACAAACAATAAACCTCAGTTTCACTTAGGTCGGACAGAATGTCCAGTGGTTTCCTCCCTACGTCGGACAATTTCACGAATGGCTTGGACAATGTCCGTAACCGACCGACTGATTTTAAGGCCTGACAAAATAAAATAAGAACGTAACATTCTTGTACATTTACTTTTTTGCAGGTAACCAAAAGTACTTTGCAGCCGGTTAGCCCAACGAGCAAAGCGAGCAGCCAGAGCATAGTTTAATTGCAAGTTGCAACTGACTCAGTGAACAATTGGGCGAAGAAATGTACGTACATGTGAGGAAGTGTCAAATTCAAGGACTTTTCAAGGACATTCAAGGCCATGTATTTATAGCAAATTCAAGGACGAAATACTGAAGCGAAGGCGTTAGAAATCAATAAAATGTGACGTTGAATTGTTCAAAAAGGGCACAACTTTAATGAATTTCAAACAGTTTCATCAGATATTAACATGCAAAATAATTTCAACAAAATGTCCGTTTTGAATGTCAAACAATTTCAGAAAACATCCATAATTACTAAAGCAAGACATTGTCAAGTAAAATCATCTAGTGTTAGACGCAATAATTAAAATAATAAAGTAGGCCAATTAATAGGATGCATTGGAGCTTAATTTTAAGCATTCAACTTACATGAATAATATTGGACTTTTCTGACCAATATGTAAGTGGCTGCTCTCTCACAACATCGTGTGGCTAGAAGTTGCAAATAATAAGATGTTAAATTTGTTCATCATTTTCACAAATAAGGATTTAAAAACATATATAATAATGTTTTATATTCACAATTTAGACACACCTGTTCTGGAATTCGTTCTGTTGGAATAAATTCTGCAAAAGGTGTAAAAGACAAGCATTCTTATTTTGAAAGCATGCAGTTTGAATTAAGTCAGACTAGTCATATGGTACAATTATTATTGTACCATTTAGTCTTTCATGATGAAACATACATGCAACCACAATGGATAACATCAGTTTAATAAAGTTCAGAACTTCAGACATTAAGGATACATTGTAGTGCAACAACATACCATCATTAAAACATATTCTATATGTTAGCTGAGTGTATATAATATACCACAAAATTTTTTGAAAAATGCATCACAGACTATACCTCTAGAAAAGAAATCTTGTTTTGTCACAGATCTATAATCTGGAGGGGTCGGTGGAGGGTGAAATTCTTCTTGAACTTCCGCACTGAAAAACAACATAAATACATGAATCTTGAGCCAGTCAAATAATATACCACAATGGGCCATTCCAGAAAACATCCACACCTAGCTCCCCCACAGGGGAAATTGGAAATTACCTGCCAATATCCTCTTCAGGTGTCCTGATTCATTTACTAGACAGATTTGGATTGAGGACACAGACGTCAAAGGCGACGTGAAAATGGGGTCAAAATGGAGTGGCATATCCATACATGGGCACAACACACCATTTTCACATTGTCTTTGACGTCCGCGTCCTTGATCTAAATCTGTCTACTATATCACAGAAGACCCTGAATGAGGCTCGATCTATTTGTCCACGCCCGCCTGTGACTTAATTCCTTATAATGAGAGAAGGACGGAAAGATTGATACCAAAATAGCCCAGACTTGGTATATGTCACACAAAACTACTCTCATTATAAGGAAGTCACAGGTAGGCACGAGCAAATAGAGCCCGATTGAGTCTCCTATTCTATTATCAGAAGTAGATCCCTCTCTCTGGACAATAGAACTTCCTTCGTAAGTAGGGATGAGCCGATTAATCGGTAAATAATCGGCAAAGCCGATTAATCGGCCGTTTTCTAAATAATCGGTAATAGGCCGATTATTGCCTGATAATCGGCCATAAGACTTTTTCTGCAGCTGCCAATCACATGCTAAAATACTGAATACAAGCGAATAGATTTTCACATTTTGTTGCAAAACCTGTGTCTTTTGTCTCAAACGAAGTGAAGCAGGGAACATTTCCACTAAAAAAACGCAGCAGCTAGACTAGCTCCGCATAGCTGACAATGTCTTGTTTTTACAACATATAATCTGCCAAAACTAAACTTTGACTACTGACATGCGAGACTAAAGCTGTTTTTAATTGTACAAAGTGTGTATTGTAAACAATAAAACCGCATTTACAACTTTATTGTTGGTCATCTTGTGATTTTTCGCTTGCTTTTTAAAATAATGGGTGGGTACCGATTAATCGGCGATTAGTTACAGTAATCGGCTTATAAATAATCGGCCTCAGTAATCGGCAATTTTCCTTATCGGCTCATCCCTATTCGTAAGGGGGATCAGCCATCTCAGCATTTTTCAAATTTCCACGATGTCATCTTCACATGTTTTGACGTGAGAACATGGCATGTTTTGGTAATAGGATCATTCAAGATTTTCCTGCAAATACCTCAGTTTTTCAACAAGCTGTTTTTCGAACAGTTCCAATTTCCTTCCTTTTGCCCGAGTCCCGTTACCCGATGGTTGACGATAGGAATCTTTCGTTGTCGATAAATTTTCAACTTGTGAATTAAAGTTGGTGGTCAGAATACCCTTAATAAAAAACAAGTAAATTAGTATGAAATTTTTTGTCAAATTGTTTTAAAACTTCACTCAATTCTTTACTGTACCTTATGCCCAAACTTGTGACGATGTGATTGCTTTTTGTCCGGTTCTTCGTACTGTTTGCAAGCCCTCTAAATTAAACGATTGTCCAACTATGATATCAATAAATTTTATTACACAATATTGCTATTAAAATGCATGCAAAAAACCCAGTCAAAAAACAAAACAAAGAAACAGAAATATCTTACTTCTTCGACCCAATTTTCGAGTAAAGTTCTCCCTCCAGAATTGTTCACTCGTATTGTATTTACGCTAAAATCAGTCATACTTTTAATGGATAAAACACTTTGAAAAAAATTGAAATTATTTATCGATTTCTGATTCTTTATTTACATCACTCTAATTTTCTTCAGTGGGAACAATTGATTGTTGCTATGGAAACGAAGCTAATCGTGGTCGCTGCTGCTGTCAGCGGTAATTACTATTACCAAATGCGATTCAACAAAATACAAAAATAGACAAAAACCAACGAAAAGCACGCAAAATTTGCAAAAAAGAATGTTGGGAATTTTGACCAAAACATGTTAAAATCAGTAATTAAATATTATAAACTTAAATATTACTTAAAGAGTCCTGTAGCCATCAACAGGCTGACAATTATACAAAAGTTTAGTTTTTTGTGTATAATTCTTTCGCATTACCTTTATTTCTTACATTTTCTAAATGTTTGCCTGGCTGTCGGTTCTTCTGTTCACGAAAGATCAAGAACTTTTTTTGTATGTTACGTAACACGCGCTCCAAACTAATGAGTATAATCAGGGTATAATATACTAATTGTGGTTATGACTACATTCAAAATTTTTATCTTCGATACGTTTCTCAATCGGCAAACAAACTTTAAAGATGCGGTACAGTCCGTATGTAAACAAAGGCTTTGTTTACATTTCGGTATCCAAAATATTGAATTTTATTCGACAACTACTTATATTTTCATGATTCTAGAGTATAATAAATTATCAAGACACAACAATCAAGCTTTGCAAGAAGATAAAATGAAATAAAAACCTAAATAAACTGTTTGTAAATAAAACGAGGGCTCCTTTGTGCACATGCGCAGATCGGACTGTGCCGCATCTTTAAAAGCATTTTTAGTGCTTTGTCTGTAAAATAATGCTAAAATGAAGAGATTTTAGATGGTACGCCAAGGAAAAAATGATGTCTGAAGTTCAGTACTGAGTTTTGCTTATATTGCTGTAAAATGGCGTCACTTTTAAAGCACAATTGATAATTGTATTTTAATTGACAATTTTTCACTATTATTTTATGTTTCTCAACCGACAAATGTATTCAAAAAGGTACTTTAACTGTATAAACTAGAGAATAAAGCTAAAATAGAGCAATTTTAAGAGGTACGCCCAAAAATATCTTAGGTTTTGAACACTTTTAATCGCAAATAAGCGATATAGAAAAAAATTGCCTCTTAATTTAATAAAACAGAAATAGAAACTCGTATGTAAAAATATTCATTTATTGAATGACACAAATTGCTGATTTATTTTTCTGATTATTTTTACGTTGTTCCCCCAAAGTCGTTAGCTGCTGGTCGTCAGAGTCTCCATTCATCGACGCGAGTATGGTATCTCGGGGGCCAGGAGGCATTTCATGCAGACGTAATCGTCCGCTTTCTATAACATGAATGATATCTTGTGGTTCTTCGTAGGTGTTATTTAGTGGGTCCTTTTGTGGGGGAGGTAGAGTGGTAGACCCCGCAGTGGACTCTAGATTACTAAGTTCATGATGAGTACTCCCCACCTCGCTCGGGGCCTCGCGCATACAACTCGATGCGTACCCCGAATAGCTTGATATGGTATCGAAAGTCGAGTCAGACGCATCAGACCGTTCATTCTCTGAAGAAGGCTCGTCGATGTGCAGACCTCGGGCGATGAATTTATGGTTCTTTTCCCGTGGCCTGACATGACCCACTTTAGGCGAGGATTCCTTAGGATCATTCCCCTGTGAAGGTCCCTCATTATCCTGCAAGGGTCCCCCATTATCCTGCAAGGATCCACCATTATCCTGCAAGGATCCACCATTATCCTGCAAGGATCCATCAATACCCATATGTGTATCTACGTGTACTGTAATGTTCCTATCTTTCCCTCTAGATTTTCCTTTTTTATCATCCGCCTTCTCGTGTTTGTCAGTGTGTTGGTGTGTTTGTTTATTGGTCAGTTGATATTCCAGTGCGTTTGACAACTTTGCAACAATTCGTTCATGCACGCTGTTTTCGTCAACCCCACCAAGAGGCAGAACAGTTAGGGCAGTTTTTAAGCAGTTCACTGCTTTCTCGTAGTCTTTTTTCTGAAAGTGAATTGCAGAGAGTCCTTCGTACGCTTGCCATTGACCACGAAAATCCTGACAGTCCTTGGCAGCTTGTAAAGCATGTGTGAATTGTTCTTGAGATTCCTCCAGTTGTCCGAGCTGGCCACAAGCATAACCAAGATTGCTGAACGAGTGCCCTTGTGCATACCTCATTGACATGACACCTAGGGCACATATATAATAATAAAACAAGTTTTAGTTAAACTGTTTTTAGTTTCAATTGATAAGTGCATTTTGGTTGAGCCTCTATTCCTCATGCAGTAAACACTTAGGCAATATAGGAAAAACAGTTTAGAACTCAGATGGAGAGCTATTCCAGTATAAATAAAGTTACTAGTTTAGTTTATGAATTTTTTCTGTGTTGGTGTTGTGTACTCAGGTGAATAATATGTTTGCAATGTTACTCTGAGTATTGGGCTAGTATTGGGCTAGTATTGGAAGAGCATTGGGCTAGTATTCCAAAGGTCGTAGGTTCGAATCCCACCGTGGCCGGGCAAATTTTTCAAGCTCGCCCGGTGTGGATATGCACTCAGAGTAACATTGCAAACATATTATTCACCTGAGTACACAACACCAACACAGAAAAAATTCATATTACTAGAACACATTGGTATTGAAGGAACTAGATACTGTTCCGAAATATCACTTACTTGAACCGTCCTGACCGCGTAGCTCAGTTGGAAGAGCATTGGGCTAGTATTCCAAAGGTCGTAGGTTCGAATCCCACCGTGGCCGGGCAAAAATTTTTCAAGCTCACCCGGTGTGGATATACACTCAGAGTAACATTGCAAACATAGTTTAGTTTATGTTTCCTCCTGTAATAACACTCGATCAGCAAGTGATGACTCTTACTGCATGGACAGTTTAGAACTGATAGAGCTATCCAGTATAAATAGTTATAGTTTAATTTAATAGTTTATTGTCCCCTCCTGTACAGTAATATAATAACACTGGATCAACTAGGGAGTGTGCAATGACTCTAATAACTGGACCTCTAATTAAGGACTAACTGGACCTTTAATTTAACTCATTGAGTTCATAATAAGTTTTTAGACTTTCTCTGGTTTTTAAATATTTATTATTATGAGCTTTTGACTTGCAGTCTGTGCAGTGTGTTGAAGACTACAGACTGGCAGTCGAAAGCTCATAATATAATAAACATTTAAAAACCACAAAACGTCTAAAAACTTATCATTGAGTTGAATTGCGCCCCACTTTATTACTATACTTGACTGTCTAAAGTGAGACAATTTTACCCAAATGTGAAATCAGCCTTACCATAGAGTTCAATAGCTTTCTCATGGTACACAATTGCCTTGACGTACTGCCCAAGCTGATTGTGTACAGCGCCTAGATTCTGATACACTGAAGCTTGTAGTTTTCGGTCTCTCTGACCCACAGATTGCAGAAGTCTAAGCGACTTGTCCAGGTATTGAGAAGCAACATCATAATGGCCAGATGATGACTGGACCAAGCCGATATCACTGTACACTTTTGCTGAATTAACAAGAACAGGTTATTACAAAGGATAAAAATTATTTTAAATTACACTGTTAATATAAATGATTCATGTACATTAAAGGATCAAAATATTATAGGCAGGGGCAGATCTAGCAGAGGACCACTCTCCTCAGCGGTCTGCAATAATCCCAACATTATCATTATTTGAGATATGGCTGAATCTGCATGTCCGCCATATGTTATGTTACGTTTTACATTATGTTTTGTTTATAAAGTTTATATTGGCTTTAAATTTTTATCACATAGGGGTGACTGGGCAGTTGCTGTGACGCAATATCAGTAAATTTGCTTATTAATTTAAAGTACAGTGATCTATTTGAAAATATGACTGTAATCACAGTATAACAACATGTTTACATATTTTAACCATGATATATAACTAATGCATTCTGAGTATTTTCTAGTGAGCTCACAAATCAATTAAATTGTTTCAAGAAATCAACACACGATAACAGTAGCCTGTGACTGGAGCCTGCTCGCAGGATATACGAGTAGCAGTTCCGCTAATCACTATTTGAAAAGCAGAAAATGTATGGTTGAAGGTACCCTGGATTCCAGAGCCTTCGACAGTAAATAATAAATTGAAATGTCGCGAAGGCTCTGGTTCAACGGGGCGATTCTTTGATTACCGCGCCAATCACAAAACAGAATTAGTGGTTTTAGTACAGAATCACAAAACAGAATTAGTGGTTTTACTAAAACCACTAATTCTGTTTTGTGATTGGCGCGGTTTTAGTGGTTTTAGTACAGAATCACAAAACAGAATTAGTGGTTTTACTAAAACCACTAATTCTGTTTTGTGATTGGCGCGGTTTAATCAAAGAATTGCCCCGTTGAACCAGAGCCTTCGCGACATTTCAATTTATTATTTACTGTCAAAGGCTCTGGAATCCAGGGTAGGTTGAAGGTGGTGTTGAACTTTTCTAGGGGGTGCTAGACACCACTAGGTTGGGTGCACAGCCCACAGTAGATCTGCCCCTGATGGAACAAGTACAAAATATATTTGTTGACTGCTATTACTATCGAACCTTTAAGAGAATCATTTTCAAGCGATTCCACTTTATCAACAACGATATTCAACAGCGTTTGACATTCCTCATCTCGTAATTCAGCCAACAATGTAGCCCTGCTGCTTAAACATAGCACTTCATGTCTTTGATCCAACAATTGCCGAAAAACCTTTTCACCCTCATAAAAAACCCGAACAGCCTCCTTAAGTGAGCCAAGTGCCGCCAACGTTCCACCAAGTTTCAGGCAAGTCTCGGCTATCATTTCAGAATTTGAATACTCCCGATACCCTTCCAAAGCGGTTTCATAACATCTCTTTGCCTCGTCAGGCTTACCCAACAAATCATGAGCTATAGCCATATTATAGTTGAGGTCACAAAAGTTCAAAACACCATCAGTATGCCTTTCGGGAGCAACCGCTCGTAGCAGAAACTCAAGCCCTTTTTGCGGCTGATTCTTCGCAACACAACATGCCCCGAGGTTAAAAAAACACGCCCGTATCGTAAAAGCATCGCTTGTCTCGTGAGCTAAGCTCAAAGCTTTCTCATATGTCAAATACGAGTTTTCCAAATCGCCATCTTGTAAAAATTGATGTCCTTTTTTTGTTAAATTTTCAATTTCAAAAATCTTCCCTGCCGGTTTTTCTTCCATCTTCGCTACGGTCAGACTATCCTGTTTGTTCAAAAGTACAAAACTCGGAAATCGATAAGTACGTAGACCACTTTTGAAGATACTTTCGAATCGACTGTTCACACTTGACACTTTGTGGTTCAAGCTCCCTGACAACCAATTGTTTACAATGACGTCACAAATATATGACGTCACATTCGATGCATTCGAATTTTTTGCGAAGGGGAGAAGTTATCCACCACCTTGCGCATCCCCCCCCCCCTTGCCTTTTCCTCAGAAAAAGGGAGATAAAAGACTAAAAGAGGTTTTTTCATGGCTAGTTCTTAAAGATTATGGGGCTCTTTATTAGGATCTATTTCCAAGGAGCCCAACCCTGGGCCATAGAATAGACTACACGTACAAAAGTGCGACTTCTTGGTTTTTCCTATTTGATTTTCCAATGATTTTGGCGTAACTGTAATTTGTCATTAAAAATGCTGGCGCCATGGGCCTAGCCAGTGCGCGTTTGAAGGCTAATTTCCACTCAGGAAAATTATCCGTGGATTGGAACGGACAAGAAAATTTTTCTTTGTGTTAAAGTCATTAGTTCCAACCCAGAGCTCACAAGACAAAGAAAAGTTTTCTTGTCCGTTCCAATCTACGGATAATTTTCCTGAGTGGAAATTAGCCTTGAGAGGCATTCACCTCATGGACAAGAGGAAGTATATAGTTATGGACGTGCAGAAAAATCCTGCAGGTGACTAGGTACTATGACGGATCTGAAATAGCCCTAGGCCTGCTCCAATACCCTGCTCTTCAACCACTGAGCAATATAATACGTTTCATAGGCGTACCGGGCGGGGGGGCGGGGGGGGGGCGGTAGCCCCCCCCCCAGTTTTTTGGGCAGTCGGGCAGTATTCGATTAACAGTCGGGCAATTTTGGGTGTTTAAAAAAAAAAATCGGACCAATTCTGTCAATTTTTTCGAAAATTTAGTCAATTTTGTGGTTTTTTTGAAAATTTATGTGTTGCTCCGAAAAATTTTGGTATGTCCGGAAAATTTTTTGACCCCTTAAATGGTACACTGACCGAAATTTTTTTGGCGACGGAGGGGGAGGTCGCCAAAATAAATTTTCCGGGAAAAAATTTTTGGTACTAGTCGGGCAATTTAACGAAAAGTCGGGCAATTTCCTTTCCGCCCCCCTAATTTTTTCCTTCCGGTACGCCCATGATACGCTGATTGACATATAACTCAAGAGCCTGGAGTTACCAAGGGGAGTTACATAGCCAGAGTTACCAGGATGTTACAAATCCTTCGTAGCCTTTAGACTATTACGAAAGTCACCGAACTGTGGAATCGCATCAAAAATTCGTATATCGACCACTCCCACAAACGTCTACGACCACGCCTACATTCGACTACATAGTTTTGCATGTTTACAATTCTAATTTTGAACAGCCAATCAGGTTCTTGGTAATTGGCTGTTTAAAATTAGAATTGTAAACGTGCAAAACTATGTAGGCGCGGTCGTAGACGTTTGTGGGAGTGGTCGATATACGAATTTTTGATGCGATTCCACAGTTCGGTGACTTTCGTAATAAATAAGCATAAAATTTTCAACAATATATGCAAGAATTGAGCTTGAACAAGTGGCAGAATATTAACTATAGAATACCCCGCCACACCTAGTTGTAATTTGAATATTTTTTTGTTTCTGGTGTTATGCACTTAGGTGAAGATGTATGTTTGTGATGTTGTCTCTATCTTTGTGTGTCCCATAGAAATAATAGATCCATAGAAATAATAGATTTATTTAAATAATAGCATAGTTGCCCGGGGTTTTTTTTGTTTCAACAGGTACCATTACTAACTAATCGCCCGCTGTAGCGGGCGATTAGTTCTAATCGCCCGCTAGAGCGGGCGATTAGAACTAATCGCCCGTTACCAAGGGTCACACCTTTGTCTCCCTGACGACTACGCATTAGGCAAGTGCCTCACGCACACAATCGTGCAAGGAACAGCAACAGTTAGCTCAGAGCCGTCAATAGTCTATCATCCGATCCCTGAGTTGCCGCATCATTTAAATTACGTTCGTGCAGTCTCCAATTTTATACTAATATATTTAGCGTTTTTGTTGTGGTACGTTAAATGATAGATTGCGCATGCGTAACCAATTAAAGCGTAAAAAGTGCGCATGTGCAACAAGCTTTTACATCCCACAAGCAATGAAGCAAATGTTTTAGCTTAAATACGCTGATTCCAAGTAGGGCATGTTTGTCATTTTTAAATGGGAGCGCAACTATGCTATTACAAACTAATAGCATGGCTTTTCGGGAGATTAGTGATTAAATGGCCCCTAACCCTCGGCAGGTTTGCGGAATTCCCTCGGGCTTCGCCCTCGGGTCGGGGAATTCCGCAAACCTGCCTCGGGTTACGGGGCCATTTAATCACTGATCTCCCTCAAGCCATGCTATTACTTATAATAATAGATCTATTATTTCTATGGTGTGTCCACACCGGGCAAGCTGACAGGTTTGCTTGACCGCGATGGGAATCGAAACCGCGACCTTCCAACTGAGCTATGAGGTCAAGTCGGATCGAGTGGGTGATTTTTCGAAACTCAATTTAGTTCCTTCGATATCAGTGAGTTTTTACGATGTACATGTTGAATTTTTTTTAGACTTCCGAAATATCACGCACGCGAAACATGACTAGCTTGCTACGTGATTGTCGTGGCTATATTGCTGGCTACATATAGCATGCACTAACCCCCACCCTAAGCCCAGAAGTCCTGTTCAATTAGTTTTTGGCGAAACATGAAATGCAACCTCTTTACACATGCTTATTATTCGATTACATACGCCAGAATACGAATCATACACGACAAATCGGTGTAAACATACTTTAAGAACTACTCACCGTGATGATAACTCCGCATAGGTTGAAGTTACCACCATTAACTTTTACAAAAAAATAGAATTTTATAACAAATATATAATATTTCGCATGGGGTCGATTGCCTAGTCTCACAGGGCCGTAGCGAGGGGGGTATTGGGGGGATGGTTAACCCCCCCCCCCCCGGCCCCAACATTTTTAGAATTAACATATTCGGAAAATCGAGTTGGCCATTCGGAAAATTACGGCAATAACGAAATTTTAGTTGTTAAACAGAGAAAATATTATAGAATTGTATTGTAAGTATAAATTGTAAATTTCGACATACTAAAACGTTGTTTTCTGACCATCAAAATTCTTTCAAATCTTCCCCAAAGTCCAGGAAATGGCCGTTTTGGAGACTCTATATTAAAAATTTCCTCGGGCCTTTGGCTCTCGTTTTCAGCCTCCACGCCCGATTAAGAGCAGCTTCCTACGGAACTGCCTTCGTACGCCATGAAAGATTCGGAAATTTTTTTCGTCATTCGGAATTTTTTGCCCGACATTCCCTCAACTATACATGCTGCACTGTATGTGAGTGAAGAGCATGGAGAGCAGTGGTACACTGCAAGCAGACGTGCCCTCTTCAGGTTAGCAAGTTTCGGCCTAATACGCCCCTGAAGCACATCATTTTTCTTGCCTTCCAGGTATTGTTATGAAAAGTGTTTTTAGGTCGGCTTCAACTGACCTATTGAAATGTTGCAGAAGAAAATGGCACATATAAAAAGTAAAGTAGCTATTAATATATTTACTTGCTTTCAAATGTCGTACACTACAAATTATCTTAATATTTATACATTTAAGATCTAGACCATCATGTTGATTATGTTATATCAATTTAACTCAAAACGACCTGGAGCGCTCAAGAAATAAACACCGGCCCTGGCACTCATATCCAGGCCCCTAAAACAGATTCCGTTGTCACGTTCATGATCTGAGATCGACCAAAAATTCACAAATTCCTATCTTTATCAAATCTGGTTTGGACCTATCATTTTTATGAAAAAATCACTCCACGTATTTTGGGTTCAATGGTACGACTTTCTAGGTCAAAAAACCGGCTATCATAAATTTTTACAGTCAATGGATAAATCAATGTGCCAATTGATAAATCTGCAGTCAATCAATAAATCAATCTACAAATGCATGCCGTAAAGCTCTATGATCAAAAGTTCTGGTCAAAAGTAAAATTCATGCATTTTTGCTGTCATGTTTATTCAAAGTTAAATCTATATTCCTTCAAAAGTTATGCGGAAGATTCATTATTTTCTATTTTTCACTGTAGTATACACAGTGAAAGAGATACAAGTCTTATCCTGGAAGAACAACCGTCTATCTATGGAGCTGAGTGAAGTGACAATCTATGAAAATGTCTCGTTTGTTCAGCTTGCTACAAGAACTGTCTATAATCAATTTCCCCATGGTCTCTGTTTCTTCTTGCGGCAAAGTTTCCAAAATGTGAGCAACTTTTTGTCCAATATTCCATATATAAGAGGATTTACTGAATGCGAACCAGCAACTCTAATAATACCTGCCAACCAGACAATCCAAAAATATTTCATTAATAAACGATATTCCTCAGCGGTGATTAAAATAAAGTACACTGTAAAGGGAATATTTCCAATTGCATAACACAGGACGGTAATGAGACAAACAAAAAAAGTTCGTCGATTTCGGATAAATTTCAGGATTTTGAAAGACGTGCTAGGCGCACTTCGTCTCACTAGATTTGAACATACTCTTTTAATGTATTTGTTTTGTTTCATCAGTGCTCGACATATTTTATAATAAACTACAGCCATAAATACTGTTGGGAAAAAGTAAAAGCACGATATTAAGTAACTTTTATGAACTTTATTATAAACAATTGCGACATCGTTCCGCCGCAAGAAACAGAACGGCAGATATGTTCCATAACCTGCAATGAAACCTACAATGTACACCAAGCCACAAACGATTTTCAATTTTTGTCGACTGATGGCAGGTTTTAAAGGATATACAGTAGCACGATAACGAAGCACCGAAATTATCAACATCATACCTATTCCTGCGACTTGAACGGCGTAACATGTATTTAAAAAAACACAATACATGATGGAATAAGAAACAAGTTGTTGTTCGAAATTGATATCGTAGAAAAGATAAATTATCAGTACTCCCAGATCACATATCGCAAGATGTAGAACAAGAAAGTAGTAGTTGTTCTTCAACACTTGCTTTTGTCTTTGTATGGAAATGATTACCAAAATATTACCGAGAATCCCAAATACAAGTACTGCAACGTAAGAATATCTGTAGGCATCATATGATGTCTTCTCCATTCTTTCGTTCAAGTAATTTGAGTTATGACTTTCGTTGCTGAAATACAATTCAGGATCAAGCTGGTATAGCTTGCTTAGAAAGCAGGACAAATGACAGATGGGAACATTTTACGTACGATATATAAGACAATATACGGCAGCTGTATACAATTGACCAATAAGAACTCCGCTCGTGAGGACGAGCTTTATGGTACTCGACAAATGTCAAAGAAATTGATATATAGGATATTGTATTAACTATCAAAACGCCATAACGAAACGCTTCTGCTAAAACTGCAGAGTTTTGTCTATATAGGGCATTCAATAATTTTTTTCCAAGGGATGACGAGTAACGTTCGACCTCCTCCCATTCCCCCAGCGAAAAAGCCCCAAATGAAATGTGCTGATCGGCCAATTAATAGTAATAATCCATCCTGACTCCCGGATAGTATAAAAAAACTATAATAGAATAATTAATGAAAGTACCTAACGAAAGAGGTAGAGAAGATTCTAAAATGCCATTTTTGACGATCTAGAGACTCAAAACATTCGAAGCCCCCCCCCCCCTTAATTTTATCAAGCTTCCTACTTACGCCCTTGAAGCGCAGCATTATCAGATATTTTTCTGGCCCTTCAGATATGGTTCTGAAAAACGTTTTTAGGCCGGCTTCAACTGACCTATTGAAACGTTGCAGAAGAAATGGCACATATCAAAATGTAAATTAAGTATTAACATATTTACTTGCTTTCAAATGTCGTAAACTACAAAATTTCATGCTATTTTAATATTTATACATCTAAGATCTAGATCATCATGTTGATTATGTTATATCAATTTAACTCAAAACGACGTGGAGCGCTCAGGAGATAAACACCAGCCCTGCCACTCACATTCAGGCCCCTATAAAACGGAATTCCGTTGCCACGGTCATGATCTGAGATCCACCAAAAATTCACAAACTTTATTTAGGACTAAGTTTTTTAATATGACAATTGACAAATTTAGTAAGCTTAGTCATTTTAATCCTGAAATTAAGTTGGACCTATCATTTTTTTATAATAGAAGCACTCCGGTATTTTGGGATCAAAGTTATGACCAGCTAAGTCAAATTAACTATCACATATTTTTATAGTCAATGGATAAATGAATGTGTCAATGGATAAATCAATCAATAAATCAATCTGCAAATTCCCTAAAACTCCATGATCAAAATTTCGGATGGCCAAAGTAAAACACACGCATTTATACTGTCATGTTTATTCAAAGCTAAATCTATATTCCCGGCACAGTACGTGGCGGATTCATTATTTTCTATTTTTTCATTGTCATGAACAGTGTCTGTGAAATGAGGGAGAAACAAGTCTCATCCTGGACGAATAATTGTCTATCTATATGAGGCTGACAACCTATGAAGATGTCTCGTTTGTCCAGCTTGTTGCAAGAACTGTCTAATCAGTTTCTTTGTGGTCTCTGTTTCTTCTTGCGGCAAAGTTTCCAAAATGTGAACAACCGTTTGTCCATTATTCCATATATGAGAGGTTACTGAATACGAACCATCAACTTTCACAAAATCTGCCATATACCCAATCCAAATGTATTTCTCTAAGAAATTATTACTGCTCAGCGATGTACAGAATATCACACAGAGATAGCAATATTTCCAATTTCCAAAACATAGGACGGGAATGAGACAAACAAGAAGTTCGTCGATTTCGGATAAATTTCAGGATTTTGAAAGACGAACTAGGCGCACTTCGTCTCACTGGATTTGAACATACTTTTTTTATGTATCTGTTTTGCATGACGAGTGCTTGACATATTTTATAATAAACTACAGCCATAAATACTGTTGGGAAAAAGTAAAACCAGAATACAAAGTAACTGAAATAAAATTTCTCATAAACATAAACAATTGCGACATCGTTCCACTGCATACAACATAAGGACAGATATGTTCCATAACCCGCGATGAAACCAACAATGTACGCCAAACTACAAAAAACTTTCAATTTCCATCGACTGATGGCAGGTTTTAAGGGATGCACAGTAGCACGATAACGAAGCACTGAAATGATCAACATCATACCTATTCCTGCGACTTGAAAGCCGTAGCTAATATATATAAAAAAAAACACAATATATGTTGGAAGAAGTAACACGTTGTTCTTCGACAAAATCGGGGCTGATACGATCGAAAAGATAAAGGGTCAGTGCCCCCAGGTCACACATCGCAAGGTGTAGGACAAGAAAGTAGTAGTCAGTGTTCTTCAACACAATCTTTTGTCTTAGTATGGAAATAATTACCAAAACATTACCAAGAATCCCAAACACAATTACCGTAGCGTGCGAATATCTGTAGGCATCATATGTTGTCTTCCCCATTTTTTCGTTCAAGAAATATGAGTGGACTTTCCTTGTTTAAAAACAATTCAAGACTGATCAAACTTGTAGCTTGCTTAGAAAACAGGACAAATGACAGATGGGCAGGGGCGGATCCAGGGGGTATCGACTATCGAGTGTAGCTCAAGATACGGTCAGATTTTTCGGATTATGGATAGTAAAATAGTTTTGGGAGAAAAATTCACCATTCATATAACTCAAGAGCCTGGACTCGGAGTTACGAAGGGGAGTTACATAGGCAGAGGAGGCTATAGGGTTACCAGGATGTTACAAATCCTGCGTTGCCTTTACAGAAAGAAGCATAAAATTTTCAACAACATATGCAAGAATTGAGCTTGAACAAGTGGCGGAATATTAACTATAGAATATCCCGCCACACCTAGTTGTACTTCGAATATTTTTTTGTTCCTGGTATTATGCACTCGGGTGAAGATGTGTGTTTGTGATGTCGTTTCTATCTGAGTGTATCCACACCGAACAAGCGGAAAGGTTTGCCTGACCGCTGTGGGAATCGAACCCGCAACCTTCCAACTGAGCTACGAGGTCAAGTCGGTTGGAGTGGGTGGTATTTCGGAACTCAATCAAGTTCCTTCGATATCAGTGAGTTTTTACGATGTTGAATTTTTTTTAGACTTCCGAAATATCACGCACGCGAAACATGACCTTGCTACGTGATTGTCGTGGCTATATTGCTGGCTACATATAGCATACACTAACCCTCACCTAAGTCCAGAACTCCTGTTCAATTAGTTTTTTGGCGAAACTTGAAATGCAACCTCTTTACACATGCTTATTATTCGATAACATACGCCAGAATACGAATCATACACGACAAATCGGTGTAAACCATATACCTTAACTCCTAAAGAACTACTCCGCCGTGGTGATAACTCCACATAGGCTACCCAGGGTGCCAGAGGTTTTCAGGTTCTTAAAGGTCTTGATCATGAGATATGAAAGGGAAGCGGAGTTTCAATTTATTACACAGAAACCCCAATCTGGGAAACTTTCTGAAGGCTCTGGAACCCAGGGTACACATAGGTTGGCGTTATCACCATTTACTTTTACAAAAAAATAAAATTTTATAACAAATACAATATTTCGCAGGGGGTCAATTGCCTATTTCCCACGAAACATAGCTGTCGGTTGCATTCTCGACAGGCTTACCAACGTAGGTTATTTATAATTTTTTTAGTATGTATTTACATTAATTTCAACATATACAGCTAATTCAAAAAAGGTTGTCCTTTGCAAACCTTAAACTCTAAACTTTAAACCTTAAACTCTAAGCGTTCAAAGCATAATGCGAGCATCATTTAATCAGTTTAGAAATCATATATGGGGCCCATTTCTTAGAGACATGGTAAATATCTCCTTACGAGAACAATTCATTCACAAATAGCTGCAATATTCAACTACTAAGCTTGAAACTTGTGCCCCCATTAAGCTTTGCGCGCTTAAAGTTTAAGGTTTAAAGTTTAAGGTTTGCAAAGGACGGCCTTTTATTAATACTGACTCATTAGACATTACTGTTAGGATTATTTTTATGATTGCCTTTTATGTTATACTGTAGTGTACGGTTGTGATGTTGTAAAACTTCAGCTGGTTGTTATTCTTTGAACAACGTTAAATTTTTCTCACAATTCTTCATCAATTTGGTCGTCGGTGTCTTGCCCCCGGTTAACATATCCTAGGTCTTGGTTGAACGATGTTTCAGCAATCTGCTCCGACTGTTCTGATGTGGTGCGAAACCTGCATGGAAACGACAGTTAGATTTGTAGCGCAAATATTTGGTCTTGGGAATAAAGCCCGCAAAATCCCTGAGTTCAATTGTTTCACTGTTATTGTAGGTAACCGGAGTACGGAGAGAAAGCCTGCCGCCCTTTGATGGTCCATAATGACACCAGTTTTCTCACAAGCGACTACGAGGGAATTTCATCATAGAACCGCATCATTAAATGCTGCCCACATAGGTAAAAAGTGATTTATTCAAGGGTGGGTTGACTACAAAATTTTTGTAGTTCGCTATAACTACAGCTACTTCAAAAATATGTAGTCCACCACAACTACTGCTACTTTTGAACAAAGGTAGTTCGCTACTAACTACAGCTACTGCTTAAAAAATGTAGCGAACTATTTCGCTATTTCGCTAATCTACATTTTTCAGTTTTACTGTATTTGGAGCATCTACTATTAACTCAGGCTGTAATATAACCTATAACAAATCGACTTACGAGTAGCAACAGACAACAGTAAACACAAAGCAACATTTTTGTAAGCACTACAGTGTTCAGGAGTGCAAATTGACTATTAAGTATTGATTTTAAGCAGACCGTGTCTCAATATCATGCTATTCTATCAAGTTGCTAACAATTTTAAAAAGTAGCGAATAGCGATTCGCCGTTTGAAAAGTAGCCAACTACTTGGCTACTTTTAGGCAAAATGTAGTTCGCTATAACTACAGCTACTGTTTTAAAAAAGTAGTCAAAAACTACTGGCTACTTGAAAATTGTAGTTCGCTACAGTACTACTACCCACCCTTGGATTTATTCCGAGTAAAACACAGAGTTCTGGGGCCGGTTGTTCAAAGGTGGGTTAGCGCTAACCCTGGGTTAAAATTTAACCTGCTGTTTTAGTTCGTATATTTCTGCACGTCTGTTTATTTCAAAACTTCAGAGAAGTAAACTCCTATCGATCCAGACAAGATCTCTGAAGAAATATTTCCAAATTTATAGACAAGCTGTCAGGAAGTTTAGAAAATTAGGTTAACCCAGGGTTAAGCTAACCCAGCTTTGAACAACCGGCCCCTGGTCTGCTACATGCCTGCTGCAACATTTTTTATTTACCCAGGTTTAATTGGGTTACAAAAAATATAGTACTTACACTTGATCAGAGACAAGGTTGTCTAGGTCTACATTCCTGAAAGGTGACTGCTCTACTGTATAGCTGCAAGAAAAGAGATACTGATCTTCACAATTCATATGATTATGTATTGAATCGTGGTCGTCACCTGCACCATCGTCATCACCACCACACCACGTACCATAATTAACACCATATTCAACCCTATCATCACTACCACCACTATTATCACCATCACCACCAAGTCATATTCACCATCGCTACTGTCATCACTACCATCGCCATGATCACCACCGTCATCAACACCACCATCATCATTTCAGATTTCCGCAAACATTACCATTACCCACACAACTACCAACATCATCACCACCACCCTCTACTACTACAATCATCAGTTTACCTTTGACGCTTGCGGACAAAAATATACGCCGCCATTACACACAAGATCACCAACATACCAACTGCACATGGTATAATAATCTCCAAAATAACATTACTATCTGAATCTTTTATCTCTTTAACTTGAGCTGGAAAGACGATTTTCAAACTGGTTATGTTCCCCAACATTGCACCTCCAGACATATTCAAAAATTTCACATTCAGCACAGCCTCACTCATGTTAGGCATGGCGCCGAATTTCAAATGAATGGACGAATTCCATTGGCCCTCGATAAACGTCAACTCACTAAACATTGGAGAAACAGTAAATGGAATCTCGGCATTTGATTGGCTGTTGGCGACCCATGTGACATTAATGGTTCCAGTAGAACCCTTGCGTCTGACTATATCAAGAATCATTTTGTTGCCATATCGCTCAGGATTGTAGATGACACTGTTGTCTTCTTCTAATATGGCGTGTGGAGGCGGACGAGTCAATGAACCTAAAACAATATTATTTTTAAGCTTTTCACACATATACTTTGCTCGAAAGGTCATTTTCTTTTCATTTTTTCAGTTAAGCCAGCTGGTTTTCACCACAATGCACAACACAACACAATCAGAAGCATATCATAACCATAAGCATAACCATAACCATAAGAGTATCAACTAGAAGGACCTTCTCTTGTTTAAAACAGTATTTGCATGAGCCTTATTTTAGCTAGAATTTCGTTCTAAGCCCATTCTTAAAGGACAATGGCAACAAAAATTTTTATTGGCTTATTTAATCCTACTGGACCACCTAACTGTGACAACTATGAGAATGTTATTATTTCTTCTCAAACATTTTTGTCCATGCATCAGTAAGATGTAATTAGTCAAATTTCAATAAAATTGCTCATCGGGGCGCCATCTTGGATGAAAATCTAAAAAAATAATCTTTTGGGTGAATGGCCTTTGTGACATAAATGGCGCGAGCTGGTTATGTTGACTAAAAATCGCTGTTTTTTAGCCTGGTGATAAAAAAATTCTCATAAGTAGGCAAGGGAGGTGCAACACTATCAGATGAAGTAAGAAGGCAAGGAATGGCGCAATTTACAGCAATTCCGTGACGCTTTGAGAATATTAATGAAGCATTGAAGCTATTATTATAATAGTTTACACTTAAAGGCCTGTTTTACACATGCAATTTTTGCAGCGATTTTCTTCTTTTGATGGATGTAAACGACTGGATGAGTTATGAATATTCAGATAAGGGTATATCATTGAACTGTAAGGTCCAGAATATCATAACTCACCTACTTATTTCCATGCATTAGAAGAAGAAAATCGCACTAAAAATTGCTGCAAAAAGTGTAAACGGGTCTTAAGGCTACTAGTCTTGAGCGACTTTGTGGTCCTGATGCCTAGTTCCATTCCAAGATTCCCTATACCTCCACCAAAATGTATTCTACAAGTATGATATTTGCAACTTACCATTACTTTCTTTGTTGAATTCTATAATTCCATTTTCTTCTTCAAACGACCAGAACAATGCAAACTGTGTCAAGTGACACACGTGCACTTTAAGGAGTTTTGCGGCGTGGTCAACGAAAGTCCATGGCTCTGGGCAGGTTTTGGACGCATCAAACCTGTGAAGATATCAACAACATTAATTTTTATAGGCGCATCTTAACAAGCCTTCTTGGCCTCGTTTTTGCGACGAAAGTTGAATAAAATTTTAAAGCCGGATGTGGCGTCAATTTTACCGCATCAATGATAATCGTATTTAAATTGACAATGTTTAACTATGTGTTTTATAACCGCCAAATACATTTGAAAAGGACATATACTTACCATGTTTTATTCTTTTTGTCCCAGAGTAAAAGCACAGGATCAATATCTTCCTTCGTCACCTCCTTACTGACAGTTTTCCTGTTTTTTTTCAACATTTGATCCACATCATAAAACAATGAGATAGTTATGGGTTTCATGAAATGATATTCAGATTGTAACGTGTTGTTTTCTGGTTCGTAAGCTTTGATCAGAAAACTGTAGTTGCCCAGTTTGAAATGCTGAAAAAGAACAAATTAGGTATAAGATGTCTTTTAATAAATATTTAAAAAACAAAAGCGGTAATAAAATTAGCTTACTATGACGTTGAATACTATGTGAAGGTGAGTTGCAAAGGTGGAAGTCTAAACTAAACAAACCTTATATTTATTCTGGATAGATCTATCAGTTCTAGACTGTTCTCCCTAGAGGTCCAGTTAGGATCATCTCTTACTGATCCAGTATTACTAGAGGAGGAAACCTAAACTAAACTAACTTTATTTACATTGGATAAATCTGACAGTTGTAAACATAACTTTCTACCTTTTATTGACGTAATGTTACAACAGAGTTAGGAAATTTGAATTAAATCAAAATCTCTGTTTAGCTTAATCAGTTCTAAACTGTGTCAGTCAGGATCCTCCCGTTTTGGTTCAGTGTTACTACAAGAGAAGACCTAAGTACTCATTGAATCTAGTCAAACATCAAACTAGATGCACTATTCTCACACGGGACTGAATTCAATAAGGCTACGATCCCAGTCAAAAATACTTGGTACTCTTTACATACAAGTTTAACCATTATTTTCATTTATATAACAATATGTTCCCCCATACGATGTTAGCTGCAGTTTAGCAGAATAACTGCAACAAATTCAACAGCGAAGTAGGGGCAATTAAGGAAGAATTATATAGTCATTTTACAGGTCGGCAAAACCAAATTTGTAATTTTTGCTTCACGGCGAGCCAAGGCTTTTAGCCAGGATTGTATAATTTTACAACGGCAAAGGTGACAAGGATATGTACTTAATCACTCTACCAACAATACCACTTCAGGACTACAGTGAATAAACCTGAGGATTCTATTTATCAAAGAAGAACCGTTATATTCGTTTTATATCTACCTACCTTGGGTGGTTTAACAATTTCAGGATCAACGACTGTCATATTATCAACCATTCCATCCTTCATCTCTTTTTCATCAAGGCTATGAATTTGAAATTTCATCTCACCTTCAACAGCTCCGACAGGAATATCCAAAGTCCCGAACGTATTCCCAATACCAGAATCATCTTCTTTCGTTTCATTCGAGTTCACATTCACTGTATCGAAGAAGAACGACCCCGAGTCATTTTTCCCGAACACAAACTCCGTTTTTCCGACGACAATGCCATTTGATGTCATTGGTTCCGATTCAAGCCCTGCACCATTGATGGCTTTTACGGTGACGTAATATTTACGACCTTTCACCAGGTCTCCGTGTTTGAACTTCGCGTAGTACGCTTTGGCGTTGCCGATCTCTTGGAATTCCCAGACGTCGTCAAGGCCTGGAGACGAACCCCAGCCAATCTCGTACGAGATTACTCCGCTCTCGGGATCATCTGCCGCCCAGTTGCCGAATATGATATTTGTGAATACCTAAAAAGACGGCACAAGATGAATTCTAAACATTTATAAACGACATTAGAATAAGAGCTGACCGTTGAAAATATATATGAAAACTAACGTACTTGGAAATTAATATCAGGTCCAATCAGGCCATCTCTGACATAGTGTATTACAGGTGGTGTCGTATCGACCAAAACACCATCACTGGATCTCGCTGTACATAACCCAGCATAATTACACGCCAACACTGTCACATAGTATTTATCATTATGCTGCAACGACAATCCTGTCAGAGTCCTATTGGGGCGGTTCGTTGCATTTTCACACCCCATGATATCATCTCGAAGTGGCCTGGATCCAATACACCAGAATATATGTTCAATATCACTTTCATTGTCACGGAAATCGATCCAACGCGCACTGATGGATGTGGTATTGTTAGTGAAATCTAAATCGGTCTCCGAAAGACTACGACTCGAACACTGTTGTTCGGAGCTCAAAGTCGTATTCGCCGAGCAGTTTCGACTTTCGTCGCTACCTAAGCCGTCGTAGACTAATCCCGGTTCGGGCGAGGTGTTGTCGAGAGAGAACGGAAAGCTATCGGAGATTGTCGTGAGTCCCGAAGCCGACTTTTGGGTGATCCTAATGAAATAACTCTGCTTCGAACCTGGTAGGTAGAATTCATCTTCTCCAAAGCTAGGAGCAGATTCTGTAACTGTAAGGTTGTAAGCATTCTGCATTATCGTTCGGTTGTCGTTCATCCCACAGTGATATTTATCACAATGTGAGACGCTGAAATAAAAAACATTCGAATTTTCCACACAAATACTCCGGCTACAGTTTACGCATTGCTCCTCGAACCCGGGGTATGCCTCTTCCCCCACCCCACATGGAACACACGCCACGCGTTCCCTGTGTCCAAGCTCAAACACCTTTCTACGAACGAAATTCCGTGGGCAAAATGAGGTCACATATACGCGGCCGGTGCCTGAATCCACATAATCGGTCGGCCATGTGTGCAGACCTGGGGTCCCAATAACCAAGTGTCGGTCAGCCATAGACACTGATGCTCCTAGTTGGCCATTATCAAATCGTCGTCCATATTTAGTTACCACTCTACCAGCTTGCCAACAACCATTGTTGGGTTCATAAAGCACCAACTCGCTTCCATCTCGACCATCGGACATAATTCCAATAGCAACAACGGTTGTACTTCCTTCCAGTACATCAAAATTACCACTTAACACAAGAAGCACTGACAAAACTTGTTGGCATCGTTCTATCGCATTAGCTGGTGGTTGTAAATCGAAAACTGTCAGGGTTCGGTCCGGAACAGATAGAACAAATAGTTCATCTTTCTTGGTGAGATAGACTTTGTTTGCGTGTGAAATGTCATCGGACAATATCTCGGAAAGTGCTGTGTTATTTTGCCAATAATTTTCTGGTACTCTCGAATAGGCATAGATATCAGAACCAACTACAATCAAGAAATTCTTATTCATAGTTATAACCTTGCCAAACGATTGGTCTTTTTCTTCGGATCCCAAAACTTGGTGCAACGTCCACCTATTAGAATCATTTCTAAAAATAGCAACAACGCCGTAGCCCTCTTCTGGATGTTTACCGCTGACTGCGATTATTTCACTACCGTCGTACACAAACTCTTCTCCAACGCTTTCCGAAGAAGACCATCGGTCACCGTTCGTACAATGTTCGGTCGCTTTAGAAGTTGTATCATTACAATTGGTAATAGCCAAAACCTGTGTGGTTTGGGCCAAATTTTCAGCACTTATTCTGTATACCAATAATTTCCCATCACCCGAAACCAAAACGATGTCATTCATTCCTTTTACCTTAACAAAACTGTTATTCATCGTCGAATTAAAAGTTACTAATGTCATTGGCGTGTTTTCATATGACCCTGTCGAAAATACGTATGCAGAATCATGAGATGATGCAACTATTAAGTCATTTTGCAAAACACATACAAACACACCGAATGCATGAGTTTTTTGAACTGGTTTCATTTGTTGGTCAGGGTAAATTGTGCGTGGTTCCGTATTTCTCTTTTCACAGCACACATTGGAGTCACCGACTACACGAGAATAGTCAAAAATATGTTTTACATCGACAGTGTCATTTCGTGTTTCATTCGCGCCTGATGTGACTCTATACACACTAGCTTTGTAGATGATTTCTGTATGATGTTTAGTCAATTCGTTTGTTTGGAAGTGCTGGGGTTTCGCTCTGACGACCACACTGAAAGGATCTGGAATGAAATATGTCTCCTCAGCCATACTTCGGGATAAACGTGGCAGCCCTACGTATTCGCGCCATCGCTGTTGTTCTGTACCAACAAATGTATCTGTTGCGTTCACCTGCATTGGGATAAAAATAACATCACATTTAAATAATACGCAAATTTTCTAAAATAAAGCTGCTAAATTATTTTAGATACACCATTGTCTTTCAAGCACTTGGCTGCGTTAAACTGGATTACTGATTAAGCCGGAAGGTGCACAATGGAAGAACAATGAGGAACAAGAAACTATAACATTCAAACTTTATTTCTGTTCGTGATTGGTTAAAAACCCCGGGATAATTATCAATATCCAGTAGCTCTTACGTCATTTCCGCTGCTGACATGATCAGCGAGAAACAATCCTCATCCAATAATTGTTTATTATTTGCGAAAGAAGGGTGAAACTTTGCGACAATGTATGAAAAACAGTAAAGAAATTGCCTGGAACTATCACATGGTGAAGGAGAAGAGGCCTGAAAAGACTTACATCAATCAAATTGAAAAAGATACTGGAATTCCAAAGAAGTAATTTGAATATATGATTGAAAAATCGTGATATAAATATATAAACATAATTAAATAATGATGGTGGTGATGTGATAATGGAAATGATGATGATGATGATGGTGGTGATGATTATTACCTGTATATCAGGGGGTGTGTCTGGCACAATCACGACTCCATCTCCGGCTGAATCTCTACAAAGTCCAACGTTGTTACAGCGTCTAACGACAGGCCGATACTTCGTGTATGGTTTTATCCTATCGCCGCTAAACCGTATATGTGCTTTCCCACGCGGAATGTCTATGAATTGAAAAGAAAACGGTTCTCCCCGCCATTTTTGAAGCAAAGAGTCAGTTACATTTAGGTTTTCTTTCTGCTCGGTTAGCGCAGCCTGGACACTAGAGTATGACGACACGTTGCTTGACGAAGACCACGTGACTATAACCGCTTCAGTGTCGGCTTGGTAATTTACATCAGTGAGAGTATCGTTCAAATTCTTTACTTCGGCCACATCGAGTTTAGGCGGGAATGTTTTTACTGGGTTACACAGAGTTGATTGAAGCAATGCAGTGTTTCCTACGCCATTTGAAATGCGAACCACAGCCTGGATACTTGTTAAGGTCGAAAGTGAATGAATAACAGCAGATTTTGTTTGTAGATTTGTTGGTACGGTCTCCCAAGGCTGTATATTACACATATTGTCAACACTTTCAATACACCACTCAATTTTGGCTATGCCTGATTCTTTGTCTTCATAATTCAACCACGAAGCTTTGACCAAGCCACTACTGCAGGAAATTTCTATAGGAACGTCACTTTTCGTTTCTGAAACAAAACAACACAACAACTATAAAATTCTTGACCGAACACTCTGACTGATACAGAAACTTGTGGATCAAGTTATCCATGCAGTTGTCTGATTGTAATTTTATCTCACATTCAGTGTAACTATAAGAGACTTTTAGTTCAGGTTTCCTCTTAAAATTACAACACTGTATCAATACAAGATAATCCTTACTGGACCTCTAAAGTGAACAGTTTAGTTTTAAGTTTGGGTTTCCTCCTGTACTCTGTAATAACACTGCAGAACCAATAGGCAATTACCCTTATTGTGCATCTAGAGAGAACAGTTTAGAACTGATAGAGCTATCCAGTATAATTAGAGTTGGTTGAGTTGAGGTTTTCTCCAGCAGTAACACTGGATCAATAAGGCATGACCATGACCTTACTGAACTTCTAAAGAAAATAGTCGAGACAGAACTGCATTTGTCTTAATCCCGAGCCTGTATGATGATGACCCTTACTGGACCTCTAGGGAGAACAGCTTAGAACTGATCTATCCAGTACAAATAAAGTTAGTTTAGTCTAGGTCCCTCTTGTAGTAACACTGGATCAATAAGGAATGGCCCTAAAAATAAATAAAGTTAGTTTAGTTTTACCTGTTGTTGTCGTATTACAAGATCCACCAGAAACCGCACTACAAATCTCCTCCAAATTCGATGAAATTCCACTCATCTCTTTTACTGGTTGTGGCGGAGTTACATCAATCTTTATTTCATCTGAAGTCACTTGCGTGGACAGTCCCGCGTTGTTAATTGCCTTTAGTGTGACGTAATATGTTTCCTGATGACGTAATTTGAGCTCAGTGAAATTGTGAGTAGTGTTCAGTCCAACAGAACGGAAGTCAATCTCATCACATTCCCCCTGGGTTGTCCCAAGGCATATTTCATATTGAGATATGTCTGATTCTGGGTCCATGAAATTCTCCCACCTGAAAACCAAGTATAAATAACGTTGGTTTATTAAGGGTTTCTTCTGTAGGTAACAATTGATCAAATAAGGAATGGCTATTACTGCAGCTCTAGGAAGAACACAGATAGGGCTATCCAGTTTAAATAAAATAGTTTAGGTTTTATTTAGTAGTAATATAACACTGGAAAAATAAAATAATTCCCTTACTAGATCTCTAGGGAGAACAGTTTAACTAATAGAGCTATACGACATAAACAAAGTTAGCTTAGATACGCTTTTAGTTTCTGACATACCTAACTGTAATTTGATGGATATCAAAATTGCTTGGTGATGGGTTGACAATTACGACTCGTCCTGAGACTGGTATCGTTGCGTCCACTGTAAATCCATCTGACGTCGCCTGCTGACGCAAACCAACCATACTGGTAGCACGAACTATTATCACATACTCTAGACCACTTTGTAACTCCGTGCCTAAAGAAAAGGTTAATGAAAATAATTTATCTTCTCACTCTGACAACTGGATATTACCACCAGCTAGTGCTTAATAAATAATTTAAATATTTGGTTATAACAGTACAGAACACTGGTAACTAGGCATGTGAATTATCCCATCCAATTCACTCATATATATCATTTAAATACTTGGTTACCTTTGTTCCATTCTATGGTTACATTATTATGTAATCTTGCACATAGGGAAAATAAATAATAAACAAATAAACCGAAAAAAGTGATCAGAACCTCACAGTAGTAACGAGGCAAGTGAGTTATCTGAAAATGTGAATAGTTTGGCAAATGGCTGGCATAAACATAAGCTCTACATGGATCAACTGATTAGGTCTACAGCATTCAGCGGTTACTGTACGTGGTGCGCGGGGCGGGGGGGGCGGGGGGATGATCAGGCTTTGCAAATATTTGTACCAAGAACAGGCAAATTAAACCAACCTGACAAGCTTATATTCGTCTGCAGCCCAGTGTCTGAAAACGCCGTTGGACAGGCGGTTATATTTTCTTTCTCACATACTGCAAACTGGTAAGATTTTATACCACTTTCATCATCTTCAAATTCTGACCATCGAGCATAAACTGTATCACCATCCTTGAGGTAATCAATATCAGCATCTTGACCATCAATAACCGTCCCAGCACTTGGTGGTGTGTAATCAACTGTAACACCATCGGACACCATAATACTAGTCAAACCTGCACCGTTGGTTGCCATGAGGGTGATGTAATATCTACCTCCGTTTTTGATTGGCTCGTTAAGGTATGCTGAGATTTTACTCGCGGTAACATCCAATGGGGTACTGGGTTTAAATTCACATGATCGAGGCCTGGAGCCAACACACCACGTGAGGGAAATGACGTCACTTTCAGGATCTTCGACGTTAAACCACGTGGCAGACACGTGCGTACGACTTCGTTGGAACTCAATGTCCTTTGCGTCTTCGAAACCATCAAGAACTTTACTCGGCGGTGAAACTGGAAGAAAAACCAGGCATGTTTTATGCGCGTAAAAAACTTATCATTCTATTGTTTTGAATAATGTTGGTTTCCCACTCGATGTTCAGCGTTTATCAACTATTATAGACAACATATTTTTAAGCCCCGTTTACATGAGACGGGCGGACGGCCAAAATCAAACAAGAATGAAAATTGAAATTGTCAACATGTTTACAATCATGATACCGGAACGAAAATCACAAAATTTTCAATTTATTCCTCTTGCCAGGCAATTTTCTTTTTTAGATGGCAGTTAGTTAGCATGTACTATTCCAATGTCAAGGTTACAGCCGAGACCGATCTGAAAGGTATTTGTGTTAATACATTCATCCCAGTCTCAATTCATGCCGGTATGAAGTCAGTCGGCTCGGTCCAGCAGGCGGAATGACTCAGTTGAGACCGGTTTGAGTTATTTTTGTCCCGATCTCATATAAGCATCTATTATAAATAATACTATGACCGAAACGAATTGATCCCGGTTTGATCTTGTTCCGATCTATGTAAACGGGGCCTTAGTTTTAGACCTGATAAAAAGACACATGTACTAATCACCGTTCGGATCTGTACCACAAACACCCTAACATATTAGTACACTCTTGCATATAGCAAAATTATAGCATACCTGTCGTATCCACAGAAATTGGTTGCGAGGCTGTAAAATTTGTAGATAAGCCAGCATTGTTTCCACACCTTATAGACACAAAATATTCCTCATCGTGGACCAAACTCAGGTTGTACCAAGTGTAACTTGACACATTTTCTACTGAAACCAATTCCGTTACATCACACAACGTAGGTTCTGTCCCGATACATAATGAATAACCAGAGACCCCAGTCTCGAGGTCAATGAAACCACGCCAGCGGGCCAGGATTGCAGACGAGACGAAATAGTATTCATCTCCCAAAGGATTCAATGCAGTTACCTCCCCAACATCCGGCTCCTTCGTATCAATAATGAACTTTGGAGAATCTGCAGTGGAGCTGAGACCAACTTGGTTTGTTGCAGTAATTCTTATGATATAACTCTGGCCTTCTGCAATAGGGGGTTCTTCGATACATATGGATGTTCTATTGTTGAGGTCGCGAGATGAGATAGGACAGTTATGTTTATCGCGTTCCAAACACATTGAGAAATGATAGTCGACAATTCGAGTCTCGCTGTCAATGAATGTGTCCCATGAAGCACAAATGGAGCTCTTGCGTGTCAGGTATATTATGTCACCTAACACTGTACTTGGTGATGTCATGTTAACCTGAAAAGACAAATTATACCCTTGAAATGAGTTTAGACATAGACGCGTACGAGAAGGGGGGCTGGGGGCAGCTGCCCCCAGTCAAAACGAAGTCACGCAAATTATAAACGTAAGTCGGGCAAAAATTAAGGAAAATAACTTTAAAAATAAGACATATGGGATATAATAGTTGAAAACACATGCAAGAATTATGTAAAAGTTACGAGGAGTTTTAACAGATTACGCCCATGAGTTTAGGCCTGCATGGGAAAATTAAGACACCTTCTTGCAGAAAACTCTGAAAAGAAAAACGAGACAGAAATACCAGTAGAGGTTTGGTGGCCCAGTGGGTAATGGCCATTCCACTACTTCGACTGCGATTCGATTCCTGCAATATGTAGTTGTAATTTGTCTGGGGCCGGTTGTATAAGTAGTTAAAGTTAACTGCAGTTAGCGTTAACTACTGTAGTTAAATCCTTATTAACTCTAGTTAGTTAAAGACTTAGGCCCCAGTTACACGTTACCGGATTCGCATCGGAGCGAGTCGAGCAACATCAACTAAGACGCTTTCCGGCCTCTCACAACTTTTCATATTTGACGTTTTTGACCAATTCTGTTATATTATCATAATTTTGAGTGCTAAGCTCCCCTTGAAGCTGTAAAATTTCATGTTGCTCCGATGCGAATCCGGTATCGTGTAACTGGGGACCAGAAAAGTGTTAGATATTCAGTTAGTATATCATATCTTATAAATATAGCAGCTCAAAACGTAAACAAAGTTCGCGCGTGCGCACAGGAGTCAGGACATCATCTTTAAAAATGTTGTAAAGTCCGTTCTGCGCAGTGCGCATCAGTTTTGTTCATAACAAAGGGGGACCCGCAGCTATAAACATTGCCCAAATTTCGCATCTTCCGAACTTTTTTAAATTAAACGAAGAGCTTATTTTCAATTATATTCATTTATATGCATAGCGAACCAGAGAAGTGTTAGATATTCGGTTATATCATATTTTACTAATATTTTACGTAGTTAACTGCTGAGGCGTTTAAACAAACATTTACATAAAGTAAGACATCATTTAACGACCGCTGACAAGCCATTTTAACATATTGTAGACTCGCATTTTGCAAATTGGCGGGAATTTTATTCAAAATTTTATATATAGTAAAAAGTCAACAAGAAAACTGCAAGAAAAAAGCAAAGAAGGCAGTCTTTTCGTGAGATATCTACGTTTATAAATCAAAGTGTAGTTATTTTGCAATTATATATCATGTTTCTTCGTGTAAATTATGGGTCCGACGGTCCTACTTCGTCTTCGAGAAGATTTAATCTTCCGGTGCAAAATTATATTCTGTTTTCGCCATGAAACCAAAGCGACACAAAACCAAAGCGTTTGAAGAGTTTATAACTGTCAGGAAACAATCACAGGTAAGCGTTGCTTTTCATTATTGTCTTGCTGAAAATGTTGTTCTCCTATTTTGAAGCGTTTGAAGTTAACGACCTTAGCTTGGGCATAATTTAATAACTTTTATATTTAATTAATAAACTATACTTTTAACTGCAGTTAACGCTAACTACACTTTATAAAAGTTTTATACAACCAACTTAACTACGTGATTAAAGTTAACTACAACTTATCTAGTGCCCTTTTTTCCAGCAATTAAAGAGGAGTTAAAACTGGACTTAAGTTTGATTGCTATTTGCTAAATACTTTGTTAATAAAATTAATAAATCTCTTTAGATTTGTCGTTAATGTATTCGTGTTCGGTTTAGGACGCAGAGCTATTAGAGAACACGCATAACATCTGAGGCTGTACATTGCACACGTCCAAACCTTTAGACCTTCTAAGGACACATCTAACATATTTAGAATATTTGCTGACTCAAGAGCCCTTTCTGGTCAGTGCCCCGCCCCCACTATTGAGGTGCTTCTGTGGCCTCTGACAGAACACACATGTATGTTTTAATATTAAGTTAGTTTAAATGTATAAAAATTCACTCCTGTCTTACCTTGCCAAGATCGGGCGGTGTGCTGTCAACCAAAACTCCGTCAGAATAAATCTCTGTCACCCCTCCAGCTTTATTATGCACTCTCAACGTCAAATACACAACTGTCCCAGAACTTATAGCTGGATTAACCTTCAACTCTACTGCGAGCCCACTGTTCACTGTTGTCAGCGGTATTATATCACATGACCCTTTAACGGTCTCTGCACAAACGACGTATTTCAAAACTCCAGACTCTGGGTCGTGGAATTCGTCCCAGTTGGCGCTAACAAAAGAATCGTACACAGTCACGTCAATGTCAGTATCATCCCCATCGCTAACACTACCACCCTCTGGTGACGTCATGTCTATAAATATCCCATTTGAAGTGGCAAAACTGGTTTGTCCAGCTCCATTCACGGCACGAACAGTTGTATAGTATGTCTCATTATGAGTAAGATTCAGATTACTGATGATTGCTTCAGTAGCCAAGCCATAGTTCCTGTACCTGCTAACATCACAGAGACCAGCATTTGAGCCAACACAAACTTCGTAACGTGTTATCCCGCTTTCCTTGTCTTGAAAACCTTTCCAACTAACAGAAATTTCAGAGGACGAACTTTGGTAAGCTTGATACTTCAAATACTCATCTCCATCAAATACCATTCCAGATTGAGGGGGTGTTTTATCAAGAATAAACGGGTTTGAAACGGCAGTTGTCTCCAGTTCTGCAAAATTCATTGCTTTAATGACTAGATTGTACTCCATACCTTGCTCAATTCCGATATCGCTGAGAACAAGACTTGTCTTTAGACCTGCATCCACGAACTCAGACACACATTCTGAATGTTGATTTGCTGAGCAAAATTTCCACTGGTACATTTTGATGTTGCTTTCGGAGTCTACAAAGTCTGACCATGAAACAGTGAGTGGCTGCCCTTCTTGTATGAAAACTAATGCTTTCTTGTTACCGACTCTAACGATCCCTTTCACAGGCGGTGTGTCATCTACTATAATGCTTCCGGAATAAAAAATTGTGTCCAAGCCTGGCCCGTTTTCAACTTTCAGCTTAAGCACAAACACCGTTCCAGTTTGAAGAGGATTTGGAAAATCTAAAGTCAAACTTGAAGAAGAAGGATTGATCGCTGTCCAAGGAGTCAAATTGCATTCATCTTTATTTGTGGAAGCACAAGCAGTAACACTCTTAATCTCGCTTTCTAAATCAGACACCGTATTCCACGTTGCGGAAATCTTGCATGGATTGGTTAAAATACCAATGACGTCAGAGTCAGATGTGGTAGCGTTGATGACGACATTTGTGATATTCAGGTCAACAGCAACGATTGAGGTCGTTGAGAAGCCATCGATAATGGGAGGGGTGGTGTCGACAGTCAGACCGTTAGAGGATGACGTTGTTGACAAGCCAGCTCCATTAATGGCGGTCACGGTGACAAAGTAAATCTCGCCTTGTTCTAGCTTGATTTGTGTGGTTGCGTGAAGGTCCAGGTTGACCGAGGTTTGGTTGGTGACATCGCAGGAATCTGTAAAAGTATTTCTTAATTATCGGCTGTTTATTTTATTGGAAGTGCATATCCTTTTCGCCTGCGTGACCGGAATTCCATTCCTGCAATACTCAACTTGTCTGATTATAATTTCGTCCTATTCGCCTGCGAGAAAAATGCTTTCAGTTTTAACCTACTTAACACCGTAGGTTTTCTGTGGGTACTTCCTTTTTATCCTGTGGTAACACAGGAACATGTAGGAACCTTTGGAGTTGATAGAGCTATTCAGTGTAAATAAAGTTATTTTACTTTAGGTTTTCTCTTGTAGTAACACTTGTTTAAATGGCTATCACTGGACTTTTAGAACAGTTTAGAACTGATAGGGCTATCCAGTATAAATAAAGTTAGTTTATAAATAGTTTAGTTTACTCAGGTAAGTAATTTTCGTCAGTTAGGGATCGTTCATTATTTACGAGAGGAGGTGGGCCGATTGGATATTTTTTAAGGGGGGTTGGGCCAGGGTTTAAAATATGATTCAACGTAATTATAAATCAGGAAAGGGGTGGGCCACCTGAATTTCAAATAAATTTTGAAAGCCTCTAAATATTATCATTAGGAAGATCTTGAGGGACAAATGAATCGGACTATAACAGACGTGGGCCACGAATTTGCTTCGAATGACAGGGGGAGGGACGCTATTGTTCATGAGTGGATCAACACTACAAATCGAAAATGCAAAATTACCGCCCCCCTCCCTATATAATGAAATGTCCTTCACCTGATCTAGTCCCAATACAGTACAAGTACTCCACCACATCGCTTTCTGGATCAAGAAACTCACTCCACGTGGCTGACATGTGATCAACATGAACTTGAGAATCTACATCACTCGTCCCATTCCCATCTCGAACCGCACCTGGCGTTGGCGGCGACCAATCAACGCTCACTTGTGGTGATGTCATACTCGTCTCTAGGCCCAAAACATTTATCCCAACCACTGTGACGTAGAATGCAATTCCGTGAGTAAAATTAAAGTTGATGTCAGCAAGGTCTACAGAATTTTGGTTTCCGTCGACTTTAGTGAATGGGTGTAAGTCGTCAGCCTTAGGGGAATTGCCGATACCGAAACGATACTCTTTTATAGCACTTTCGCTTTCGTGCATAGCCCATGAGACCATTGGGGGCGTGACGTCAGATAGATAAATGACCCGGGCACCATGCGACCCGCCGACTTTAATAACCCCGGCAGAAGGTGCCGTACGATCTACTGTGAATCCATCAGATACGGCCGATCCTGATTGGTCTTGCGGGTTCAACGCCTGCACTTTGACGCTGTACCGCTCTCCATGAAGTAACGAGATATTATGGAACTGATGTGCGGACGTTTTAAGAGGTGGGTCTACCTGAGCCAGCGATGTCGTGCAATTTAGATGGTCAGCGGTTTGATTCATCAGTCCGTAACACCAAGCGTACTGCTTTATGCCGTATACAGGGTCATTAAAGCCAGTCCAGTGAAGCCACACTGCTTTGTTATCGAGTTGGAAGTCAATATCTTTAGTTAACGGTCCGTCATATACTACACCAGCGGTCATCTTGCCAAGCTTAACAAGTACTTCATTTGAGCAGCTTGTAGTGGATAGTCCTGCGCCGTTTGTGACTCGTATACATATATAGTATGTCGTGTTGGTGTGAATGGTTTGACCACTTATAACATATCCATTAAGAGTACCTGTAATAAAGGCAGACTTTAAACATTACGATTTCAACGGTGGAAAACAATGGAATACTTTAAACGTGATGATCCCGTGTATGTAGTATTTTACAATAAGCTGTTGTGGTTTGTGTCTGAAGTACCTGAAAAAGATATCTCAAACGTGGTGGTCCAGTGTAGGTGGTATTCTACAATAAGCTAACGAGGTTTGTATTTGAAGTAGTTGTCGGAACAACCCAACGGCAACGTCACTATTTGTTTACGTTATAAATACATGATTTGTTTACGTTATTTGTTCCCGGAACTATTGACAGAATTGTTTGTACTATTCTACCTGGTTTGTTTGGATAAAGTGTCGTAACGTGAGTGGGGGAGGGGACTTAAATCCCACTTTTCCAGCAGCAAAATTGCTTGTGCGAATTTCATTTCCAGTGGTCCTCATCCAATTTTCCCATTGAAGATTAGGCAAACCCCATCTCCCATCTTATCCTTTCGCGACCCTCTGGATAGTTCGTCTTGTCTTTACACAAAGACAGACGATTTGTCAAACAGACAGACTGTCCGTGTGTAGAATAGACCGAGCTAATAATAATAATAATAATAATAATGATAATAATTATAAAATAATCAATTAAAACATTAACCTGTAAATTGGATTTTTCTGTAAAACACATTGCCCAGGAGTTTCATCTGCTCAGCAGACGGTCCAATTGCCCATTCATACACCCTTACTCCACTTTCCTGGTCTACAAACCCGCTCCATTTCACAGTAAACGAAGCACCCGTGGTTACATTTGGATTACCATCGTAATTTGCCGGCACTACGAAGTCGGCCGACACCCGACCAGGCGATGGTGGAGTACGATCAATCACGACACCGTCCGACACAAACAACGTCGATCGTCCAGCTGTGTTAGTAACTGTGAAATATACGTAGTAAGTCTGGCCAAGTTTGAAAGAAATCCCAGAAATGAAGAGTTCTGTAGAATTTCGTGAAATTTCGGTAAAGTTTTCTGGATTTTCCACATCTGGTGATGTATTGAGCGACCATGATACAGTTTCTATCCCGCTTTCATTATCAACAAGTTTCCAGACAATTTTGATCGTTTCACTTTGGACTTGAAACGAGGCTTCAACTTTGCTAAATACGGGAGGAGTGGTATCGACTATAACTCCTGGAGTCCAGTATTCTCTTGAAAGGTTCACATTGTTCGTAGCTCGGAGCCCAACTTGATAACGACCGCCATTTTGAAGTTCTATAATTCGTTTTCCAGCCCCGTTAACAACCACAAGAGAGGAAAGAGTTGAAAGTCCTTTTATTTTATGGAATGGAAGAATAAAACGAGATGTGTCGATGTCTTTTATAGCAAACTGGTATGCATTAATCCCTGTTTCATTGTCACTACAGTCGAAATGAACCACTAGCTTCCTTATTTGACCCACAAAATTAGTCTTAGTCCCATCTAAAGTAGCATCATACACATTTGAACACGTTGGGGCTGACCCGTCCACTACAAAACCATTGCTCACTCCAGTTATATTAAGTCCAGCTCGATTTCGAGCCGTCACCGAAAATGCATACTTGTGACCGTTTTTCAGTTCGTCTCCTCGTAATGCAATTTTCGTGAACCTCCTATTTCCGGGTGCTTCCGATGGTCCAATGACCCGGACGCCATTCGGCTTCTGATAAATGGAAATTTGGTACCCGGTCACATGACTTTCCGCGTCAGTGAATTTCCAGTTAACTGTCACGTGAGAGCCAAGACCAATATAGTCAGCATCTTGATAAGGACTGTCGCCATCGTTGATGTAACCTAGCAACGGTGGCGTAGCATCAATAGTGACGCCATCGCTGGACAACGAGTTTTGCAAACCGACTCGGTTGACGCATTTGACCGTGGCAAAATATCTGTAGCCCTGGGACAGAGTGAGATTTGCTAATGTATACATAGTTTGGTAAGGCAACACAACCTGATAACCCGCAACATCCAGAATGCCAGGCTGAGCCCCGAACCCGACAAATGCCTGAGCTAGCCCACTATCAGCATCTTCGCATTTCCAGCTTACAGATAGCGAAGTCACATGACTGGTATAATCAAGGTCAAGATGAAGGTAAACTCCGTCGGAAACTGGGGCCGAAAATGTTGGTGGCGTTGAATCAATTAAAACACCATCGGACGCGGCAATCTTGCCAGGAACTCCCAATATATTAAACGCAATAACTCGAGCGAAATAGGTCACGCCGTTTTTAAGTTCTGAAACGAGCAAGTTCGAACTTGCAGATGAAGTGACTAGACCAACATCAGTAAAAGGTTGAACATCTGAACTATTTTGCGATGTCCCGAATGCAAGTTCATAGTGATGAATCGATGTTTCATTTTCAAAAAATCCATTCCAACTTGCGTACAGTATGTTTTTTTCTCGTTGGAAAACTACATCCCTCTTCCCCAGACCGTCTGTAACTCGCCCTGTCGTCGGTGGACTAGTATCAACGAAGACGCCATTGGTCCAATGATTCCCAAGGTTACCAGCTTTATCGTTAAGCTGCAGTAAAGCGTAGCAGTAAGTTCCCGATTGTAGGTTAATATTGGTAAACGAATATGAAGTTAAGGTGTTCGATATTTTCACCAAAGGATGGATGTCACAAATATTAGGATTTTGAGTAGAGCTGACACAAACTTTAATTTCGTCAATTCCGGAAACGTCCGTAACGCCTCGCCAATGCATTCGGTAGATACTTGGAAATGAGTGGTATTGAGCATCTTGCGTGTCCCATCCGTCCAATACGTGCGTGACTAATGGTGCTTCGTCGTCAAACACCAACGGCAGTGACGTGGCTACTATAAATAGACCAGCAGAGTTAGTACCTTTCACTGTTATGTAGTATTTCCGTCCATTTGCTAAAGAAGTTGTTGTGGTCGATGTCCAATTTACACGAATAACATTAGATACAACATCAGGCTGGTGGCTTGCGAACGGTAGGACATCATCGCCTTCGGGATACGACGACACACCGAGGCTGTACTGAACAATGTCCGACACATCTTCGGTCATCTCGAAGTATGCAGAGAACACGTGATTTTGGCTACTCGTGTATCTGATTGGCTGGCCTTCGTTACCATGGTAAAGCTTGACTACCCAAGGTGGAGTGGCATCAATAATGAACGATTCTGATATTGAATTCGAACGAACTCCGGCGCGATCTTCAGCTTCGACAACCACAGAGAAAACACCATTAGGCATAACTACATGTAGACCGCTGACTACAACGCGGCCCACGATCTTGACTGGCACCAACAGTTCGGCAGTATCGTACGAGAGCACAGATAAGCCAAAACGTTTTATTCCTGAATGTTTGTCGTAGAAACTCAGCAGGTCACATGTGTCGGCGATGAATTGTTGCTTGGCTCTGTCTGCTGGACACCACTGCCAGCGGGCCCATGCTGCTTTGTTGATCCACGTGACTTCTAGTGGTGGTCCCACGTGACCGGCAATGACGGAACCCGGATGTGGTGGCATGAAATCCACCATAGCGCCGTTGCTGCTACCATTCACACACATGCGCACTCGGTTACAGGCTATCACCGTCACATAGTATGTTACACCACTTTGCAAGGCACTACTGCTGACCAACACTTGAATGCTCAAACCGTTGCTTTTGAAAGCTGATGTGTCATCTTTCCCAGGACTCGTACCCAGACCTACAAAGTATTCTCCAATTCCACTTTCAGCATCTGCAAATGCGTTCTCCCAGTGAGCTGGATAAATATCAAAACCTGAACTAAATTTCCTGTCTATCCCATGGTGTCCATCTCTGATGTAGGTTGGTAACACTGTTGGTCCCGTTGTATCCATAAGTATCCCATCTGAGGAAATCGTCTTAACCAAACCTGCATTATTTCGAACTTTGATTGTGACGTAGTACTGAACCAATGACGTCACATTTACGTCATCAAAAACTATCCACGTGGTTTTGGAGTCATCAGATATTCTAGTTACCAGCTCACCAATGTTGACAAAGAGGTGGATGTTTTCCCCACCCGGGTAAGTGCCCACTGCCGCGCGAATGGACTGGATGCCACTTTCATCATCGTGACACGAGAACATGTAGGTGAGGTTATTAAGTTGCCGAACGAAATCTTTATCTATTACGTCATCGAAGTTTATGACGTCACGTGGTGGTCCATTGCATGATGGAATTGTATCATCAGGGATAATACCCGACACGTTTACCGTAGCGTATAGGCTTGCGGCATTAGTACCTTTTAGTACAGCGGTGTACTTTTTCCCAGACGTCAAACTTAAGCCGTCGAGCAATGGCGACTTTTGGGTCAGCGGTATTGTCTTAAAAGGTATGACGTCACTACCGGTGTCTTGATCGATAAGTTTCCACTCATAGCGCACCATGGGGCTTTCGTTGTCTAGAAATTGTTGAAACTTCCCAGAGATTCGTCTCACTGAGGTTACGAATCCCGTACCATCTTTTCCGACCGTGAAGTCACGTGGCACAGGTGGCGTGGTATCTATGGTAACGCCATCACTACAAGCAACGGTAGCCAATCCCAAGAGGTTGACAAGTTGAACCCGGATATAATATTTCCCGCCATTCACTAACTCTAACTCCGTCTTCTTAATAGTGTAGCTTTCCCCGACTTCTCGCAAACTTAGAACATCAGCCTCGCTTTCAGACAAGGTACATTTCGGCGAACTTGATATCCCCCATTTAACGCTCGAAAGATCCCCGAAAGTCCCCTCAAAACCATACTCCACAGCAAGACTGGTCGTATCCGACTGGTAGTCGATGTCACCCGACGTTTTACTATCGTGTACGAACGTAAGAATCGGAGACCGTCGCCTTGCAGTAAACATCGGGCAATCAGCAACCGGGCTTTTTAGTCCAAAACCATTATACGCATATACGGCCGCGTACACAGAACGACCATGCATGATGTCGAGGTCTGAAACTAGCAAGCTCTGTGTTTCTCCGTGTATGGAATAATGGTCATCGCCGGACCCTCTGATCGAGCCGATTATGACGACATAATTCTGAATCTTTGTGTCCTCAGTGAAACCATGCCATTGGACGAAATACTTCTTATTCCCGACCTGTTTTGCGGTACATTGTCCTACTCCGGGGGGTGTGTTGTCTGTATCTCGTTCGCAAGTACTGAGTACGGTTTTATGGATAGACCGAGACGACCAAGTCCATTCAGCGAACGTATTCTTTGAACCCCAACCGATTGAGATGCGAATTTTAAACCATTTCTTCCATCTGACTCTTATAGATCTGAACTGATACCACAAGTACACACGAATAGATAAAGGAGTCATTTGCAGCTTCATTTCCAAACATGCACGCAACGGCCATTTGTTGACACGAATGGCGACCTCAGGGATAAGGTAGGTTTCCAGTAGTTTTGCCTCTACCGTCACACCAGCCTTCACGATTAATACAGAAAGACTTGCCCCTGCGTATACAGTCACCCATGCCCCAGGGATGATCGCAAGTCGTACCTCTTTCTCGCGAAGACACAATGAGACTCTGTAGTTCGCATAGTAATTTGTATTAGCGCCGAAGTAAAAGTATACTGAAATACCAAACACCCCGACATCAAAGCCGACTTTGGGAATAATTGAAAATGAACCTAAGAAAAATAGATATATTAAAGATTTCTGCTTTCGTTGTTGTTAGTTGTTGTTGTTGTTGTTGTTGTTGTTGTTGTTGTTGTTGTTGTTGTTGTTGTTGTTGTTGTTGTTGCTTGTTGTTGTTGTTGTTGTTGTTGTTGTTGTTGTTGTTGTTGTTGTTGCTGTTGTTGTTGTTGTTGTTGTTGTTGTTGTTGTTGTTGTTGTTGTTGTTGTTGTTGTTGTTGTTGTTGCTGTCGTTGTTGCTGTTGTTGTTGTTGTTGTTGTTGTTGTTGTTGTTGTTGTTACCTTTGCCAGGAGGTTATGTAATCATCAGGGTTTGTATGTGTGTTTGTCTGTGAGCACGATAACTCAAAAAATACCAAACATATTCATACGAAATGTTTTAATGCATTTCCCATCGGCCAAGGAAGAATTGATTAAAATTTGGTTAAAAATTGAACGAGAAATGAACAAAAGTTTGTTTTGCTTTTCCCGGTCAATTAAAAAAAACTCACTGAATGCGTAATTAGGACGTGCATAATTTATGCACGCAGTATACAGGGTATATAAAGGTATACAAATAATGTAATCAATGGTATCTTTTTAGATTATATACAATTGTAAATTTCACTTATATAAGGGAGGCTGCTCTAAAATCGTGTGCTTTACAAATATATTCTAATTTCTTAATAGTAATAATAATAATAGGTCAGTAGTAAATATATACACGCTGGCAATATTTTAGGCGCGTTTTATCACAGGCGGCCCAAACTCGCAAGGGTCAGTATAAGACTTATAGCAATGTATATTATAGTAAAAATATGTCATAAAATATAAATTTTAAATTGAAATCGACTTGCCTATTTGGTCGTGTGTGTTCTCCTTGTATTCCTCTTTTGTTGGACTAATATTTTCCGAGATTTTGTACTCGATGGTACTAGAATACATACTACATGATAAAGGCAAACTATTTACAATCGTCGATCCGTCTGCACGGCACTTCGAATCGAAAATTTTCCCACTCAAATCGTTTTATTCTCCAAACAAATTCGCCAGTATGTAGAACAAATGCCGTTCTTCGAAAATACGGAGACCGTATTTTAACAATGGAAATCAAAACCCATTTTATATTGAACTTAATACAAAGACCGACAATTACTACCGGGGGGGGAGGGTTACGTTAATTCGTTATAAAAAAGGATAATTTGAAATATGATATATCGACATCATAAATTGTTTTAAATACATTTCTTATTATAACATACGTGATATATACAGGACATATGTTGTTTCCCATTGTACTTCCCGCTTTTTGGTATTTTCATGATGTAGGCAGGCGGCCTCCCCCCTGTAAATCCCAACGGTTTTAGGAGGCCTGGTTGCCCATGCATCGTGGTAGTAATTGTCGGTCTTTGTAAGTTCAATATAAAATAGATTTTGATTTCCATTGTTAAAATATGGTCCAAAACTTGCACATCTCGCCGAAGTATCTCCGTATTTTCGAAGAACGTCATTTGTTCTACATGCTGGCGAATTTGTTTGGAGAATAAAGCGATTTGAGTGAGATAATTTTTGATTCGAAGTGCCGTGCAGACGGATCGACGATTGTAAATAGTTTGCCTTCATCATGTAGTATGTATATTAGTACCATCGAGTGCAAAGTCTTGGGAAATATTAGTCCAAGAGGAATAAAAGGAGAACACACACTATCAAATAGGCAAGCAATTTCATTTTGAAATTTATATTTTATGACATATTTTTACTATAATATACATTACTATAAGCCTATACTGACCCCTGCGAGATTGGACCGCCTGTGCTGTTAAGGCCTGATTCCACGGGCGCTTTTTCTCAGCGAAATGCGAAATATTTCGCCTGTTTCTTTTGAATTGCGACCACTCGAATAAATTATTTCTACTTGATTGCCCACAATTCAAAAGAAACAGGCGAAATATTTCGCATTTCGCCGAGAAAAAGCGCCCGTGGAATCGAATCAGGCCTTTATACGCCGAATTTCGGTCGCGTCGAATGTGATTAAGACAATAGTCAATTTTGATAATAGTAGTAATAAATTAATTTCCGAAATTCAATGTATAAAACAAGGCTTACGGAGTTACGCATCATTGCGTTCAGCAAAGTGCTAGGCCATTCAAATTATAATAACAATAGATTACTTCAATAGTTTGCGCTTTTTTCACTTCCGAGTAGCGGGCGGAGGTATGCAGTCTCTGAGTGCCCTCTAGTTGCTCTTGTTTTAGCTCGTAGTGCTGCTATATTTTTGAAGTTGTTGCAGTGGCTACTGTCGCTTGTGCTTTGTGCTTTTTTGCTGTTGTTATTGTTGTTGTTTAATATTCAACGTTTATATTTGGTAAAACATTCTCTTTGATGTGTGGAGTGATGAATGCATGTGCCCTTCATTTCATCTATGCTGTCGCTTGTTGGGCCCCAATTCCTGTAATATACAGTTGTCGGATTATAATTTTGCCTTAGTCACATGTGAGAAAAGCACTCCAGGTTCAGTCCACCAAACAGAATAGATTATCTTTAATTTGGGTACTCTGGTTTCTCCTGGACAAGTAAGAGATTGACCTTTATAAACCTCTAAATAGAACAGATTAAAACTGATAAAGTTATTCAGTATAAATAGGAGTAGCTGAGTTTAGGTTTCCTCCTCTAGTAACAATACTGTACCAATAACGAACCGCTTTCATTAATTAACCTTCTTGGGAGAACAGTTTAGAACTAACAAAGGTATTCAGTACAAATGAACTTTAAGCTCTGGTCAAACGTTGATGAGAGTTGGCAGTCATGCATCGTTACAGGGGTCATTTCAAGCTCTAGATTAACAAAATAAAGGTTTGAAGCGTGTTCCAACTATGTTTTAACTTAAATAGAATACATGATAGTAGTGTTGGGAAAGCATATAAGAACAGCTAACCAAGGTCACGTGACTGCCAACTCATGCACTCTCATCCTCGATTGATCCATGCTTTAGTTAAGTTAAGTTAAGTTCAGCTCTGCTCGGCTCAGTTCATCAGTTGCATGAGGTTTAGTCTTGCGTAGTAACCAATAAATGCAAAACACAAACCTGTTTTGGGATCGCCCTCCAAATTCCAAGAGCAAGCTACACTTTCGGTTGTTTGACGTCGTACCCTCTTATGCCTCTCAAGTTCCTCGGTGTACACATCAGCATCCAATGCTTTCTCTAGAGCGCTTCGTTTTCTACGTTCACCACACTTCATCTCGCCCAGAGGAAACAGACGCCTGGCTGGGATAATCCAATCCCATGCCACTTTTAGATACACACAATTCTCCGTGATGTCAAAACCGGTTGTAAGAATCGGCACTTTAAATTTGAAAAACCTGTCTTCGAAATCGCCAGCTATTCGTTCGATCTTATCCTTGTCCGAAAATGTCCCGCTCGAGAAGGCGGTCACGATGTGTTCTGAGTCCACAGTCTGGATACCTTCTAGGCCAGTGGGTGTTCGCACAACTCTCAGAACCGTCGATTCATCCAGAACAGCACTGTCAACGTTATGGAATTCAAGCTTGCATTGGTATCCACCAACCAGTGCACACTTAGCCACGGCGGCGTATTTCACGCCGAATTGTCGGACAATCGCGAAGCCACGCGTGTATTGGCCCGTCTCGAGGGTTTCCTTTTGTAACAACACATCGCCAAACGGACTCACGTCATAGGAATGAACTTTATAACTACCACTGTCAACTACCCAAATTTTGCTATCTAGACTATCATAAGAAAGCGAAGTTGCTTGGTGGGAAAGTGACTTTGTTCTAGCAATGTTGATGGTCGAAGGGACACTGGTTGACATGCTATTTCGAACGTCAGATAACTTTACAGCATAGAGACTATTACCACTGCTCATCCAAATGTAGGTATCTTTTACGACTGCAACACCTCCCATATCGCCTGTGAAAGGTTGACCGTTTTGCTGAAGTTGAATAATCTTAACAATTTGACTTTTTGATGACCTTATATCGATCACAACCAATAGCGAAGCTTTGCCAGTATTTGAAGCCACACCGCGCATGCCCAGTACCATCTCGTTCTTAGACAATGGCGCAATACCGCGCACTTTGTAGTCATCAAAGAGACCGGGTACTAACCACTTGCCCGACTTAGAAATGGAAGACAAATCGTCCAAATGTGGAAACTTCCAAAGGAAAACAATCTTGAGATATAGTTTGGATGATCTGCGGAGTAACCTGAGGCACACTTCTTCCGAACAGTACGGATATTGGTTCCAGGGTTTATAGTCCCGGATATCCAATCCTTTCTGACGCAATTGAATTGTATTCAAGAACGAGATAATTTTATCCAGAAAGCCGTTTACTTCGTCCGAAACTTTTTGTACTTTTTCCCCATAGCCTTTTAGTTTATCGTCAAAAACGTCGGTGAAGTCGGAGGTTTTTGAAAGTACGTCTAAAACAGTTCCCTCCAACGGGCCGACGACATTTTGAGCAACTACAGTAAAGTCAGTCATTGCTCGCACTACTGTGTCTACCGCTTGCAAACTTGGATTTATGACGTTAGATTTTTTACTCAGGTCATAAGATAACTGTAGTTTTTGCTGGACGTCTTTTAGGTTGTCTTGGAAAGGTTCGATGTTGTCGATATAGATGCTTTTTAGTTTGCTAAACACTTCTTCAACGAGTTGTTCGATTTTTTCTTTGGTTTCTGTCGCTTTTTTTATGTGTTGAGCAAGGTTCTTTACTTTCTTGGCGAGGTCACTGACTGAGCGTTTTTGGACCTAGGAAGGCAAGGGTGTAGAAGTATCATATGGTGTGGTATGATATGGTGTGATATGGTGTGCTGTGGAATGGCATGATGTGGTATGGTATGATATGGTAGGTGTGGTATGGTATGGTATTGTATGGTGTGTAGGGATGGATTTATTGGGCCAGGGGGGTGCGCACCCCCCCCCCCTAGTCCTGGCTAGAGGGGGTGCAGGGGGGCTGCTATTTTTCATGATAAAGCAAAAAAGACAAAATGAGATACAGTAATTTGAGTAATACCATGATGATAAATGAATTGTGAACAACAATTGCTATTTAAATACAGTAGTTGATGGGCGGGGGGCACACATGACCGACACAACTCGGCAGTCGGCACCAGAGCACCCCCCCCCCCTCCCCACCAGATCATGCTGGATCCATCCCTTTTGGTGTGTACGATAAGGTATGATATGGTATGGTGTGTGGTATGGTATGGTATGGTATGATCTGGTATGAATGTATGATATGGTATGGTGTAAGGTATATGGTGTGGTATGGTGTAGTAAGTTAAGGTATGAAAAGGTAAGACAAGCTATGGTATCTATGGTATGACATCGTATAGTCCAGAGGTGAACTCAGGTAAAGCAAGTAAGATAGGAGTAAGGGGAGACATAATACAGGGAGACAAAGCATAGAGAGACAAAGTATAGGGAGACATAGTATAGGGAGCCATAATAACGAAGGATGTTAAAAAACATACAAACCTGGCCATCACTTTCCCCTGAAAACTTCCCAGTAATCCTGCGAGCCAAATCTTTAATCTTCAACACTTCACCTTTCAATGAAAACTCCTCCACCAATACTGAAATATTCTTCACTTTCTCCACGACACGAGAAACGTCTTCCACGGCAGTTTTACAAGGCTCCAAGCTTTCAAGCAATTCTTTATTTTCAAATTTCTTTTTCAATGTCTTAATCTTCTTTGAAACACCTTGAGCCTGTTTCGTGAACGCCTCGGAAAGACACGTGCCGCCTATGACACATTTCCGTAAACTTAAACTCTCCCACTCGTCTGGTAAAAGCTCCAAGAATGCTTTGACTTCGGACCTCAAATTCTTGTATTCCCCATAAGCTTGTTTACCAAATGCCTTTGCACCTCTTCCACATTTGGTGAGAATATTATCAAATATAAACTCAATTTCCGTACAGTTTGGCAGTTGGCCGACTTCTTTTAAAATCGGTGAAAAGTTTTTAGAAAATGGTTTTATTTCAATAAGAACCGCTTCGACTTCGCTGACAGACTCCGAAACCTTTTCAACCTCGCTTCGCACTCGCTTTAACGGTTCTTTCAGTAAATCTAATTTTCCAACTCCGCGAGAAATCAAGGCGTCTGTTTCTTTTGTCACAAATTCACGGAATGTTCCAAACAAATTATCACCTCGGATTTTGTTCACGGAATCCTGGGCTAGAGCTTGAAATTCGTTGCAGAGTTTTCGCAATTTGTCGTCGAAGTCTAATTTGAATTTCTTTTGTATGTTAAGTTTCTTAACTTCGGTCTCCCAACGCTTCGCGTTCGTAGCAAAGTCGGCGACTTTATCGGCGGCCTGTCGGGCTTTTTCGGCATGTTCGGGTAGTCGATTCAAGTTCTTTACAACAACGTTAATATTCCTGGAGACTTTGTGAACGCTTTTCAAAAATTTGTTTTCGTTTTTGAGCAAGGATAAGAATTCTTCAAGCGTTGCCGCGACACGAGCAAACTTTCCTAAACGTTTTTGTAAATTTTTCTTTTGCCAGGTCTCTACATTTGTAACGACAGTTTTGAAACGGTTTACAAGGCTAGTAAAACCTTGAGAATTCGTAGTAATAAACTCGGCTAGTTCTTTCACAGCATTTTCGGCTTCGGACTGAATTTTGTCCAAAATTTCTCCGGATACGTCGGCCGTTTTGTGACAGAAACCAGCTAGCTCGTCGGTCGAGTTGCTAGTAAACTCCGCAACATTATCAGCCAGTTCTTTAACATTTTCAAGCGATGTTTCCAACTTTGTTAAAAACTGATCTACAAATTTCTTCGCCGTGTTCGAAAGATTTTTTTGGAGATCGTCTGTAAGTCTATCCACGAATAACGTGACATTGACGACCTCTGCGATAACAGCTTGTGCTTCGTCTTCGATTTTTCTGATCGCAACGATCGTTTCCTTTTCCAAAGTTTCGCCAAATTCTTGTAATTTTCCAGAAGACTTCACCATGAATCCTTGAAACTTGCAAACCTTCTTGAGGGCTTTCTTAGAAAATTTCCCAGCCTCTTTTCCTAATTCTTCTAAGAATTTTGCAGTGTCACTAAAGTCCAGAAATTTTCCATCTTGCTGCCCCAGAATATTCTCAAATTCTTTCATAATTTCTCGGAACCATTGGCCAATCTTCAAACCTGTCGTATTCCGGAATAGTTCTGAGTTTATAGAGCCCAACTCTTTTCTCCAACTGGGTAAAAATTCCCGGAAAAATCGTTCCAAGTCTATATTCGGGCCATCAAGCTGTTGGAAAATTTCCGCTAAATAACGGAAAAAGTTCTGCAGATCTGCGAAATCTGGTTTGGAAAAGTCGATCTTAAAATTGAATCTTATCCTCCACTCGAAAGATAACCCAAAATCGAAGAATCGGTTTCCGCCGGTGGTTAGGCCGAATTCCGGCAGGTGAATTCTCGGTAACTCAATCCTGATCATTTCCCGGAAAACAGAAAGCATTTCCAGATAATTATTTCCGAAATTTATTAACCTCACCGTGACGGTCTTGAACTTATCCAGGGAAGTCGGGAAACGCAAAGTGATCTTAAAATGTAGCATTCCGAAGAAATTTCCCGGAACGCTGATACCCAATTTCTTAAAATAATCCGAGACTGCCTCATCGATCGAATCAAATCGCCCAGATATATGTTCTAGAAATTCCTTGATGTTGAAATTTACCGGAAAACCGCGTGGGAGCTCAGAGCCAATTCTCAAAACGAGATCGACCAATTTTGTAAGAAATTGGAATGCTTCTCCAAATGGCCCGTTGGATAGACTTAAGTTTTTGAGATTCCGTAAAAGCTTGTTAACCAGACTAGCAATTTTCCTCCAGAGTTCATTTACACGCAACGCGTTTTTAAGACCTTTACCAATTTGGCTGAAAAACTTTCCAAAGCGCGTGGCCTGAATAGAACGCCTCAAAAACTCAGTTGCTCTTGAGATGAATTCCAGAAACTCATTTGAATCCAACGGTAGATGATTTTTTAGTTTGTTAATAAAGTTTTGAATATGTTTCGTAAAGATGCTGGTAAGCGAATCAACACTGGCAAGAATGTCGTCCGCTGAGTCGGAGATTGCGTGGATTAAATCTTTCGGGATGTCGTTCTTAAATCGCGCCGACATTTTGAACGCGGCTTTACCTTTAATGATATCAAAATGCCACTTGATCACGTGAGCACGAAGATGAGCTAAATTATCCATGTCTACCTCAAACTTTCCTCCAAAGATGCCGATCCGTAGTTTCACTTGGTTCACGAACCTATAATAAATTAATGTTGGAAACCTAAAAGAATCTAAAAGAGCTATTACTTGATGGACAGTCTAAAGTCTTTGGTTTAGGGCAAACTGAAAACATTGTTAAAGAAATATTTTTCCTATTGAACATGTATGCTCCGCAAAGGTGGAGTGATAAAACAAGAAACGTTAGCCAAACATTTGCCGTAGGGTATGTTATTTCCTAAGTAAATGGAACAGTTACAACAAATACAGGCTGTTGCATGTTCATCCAGGTCGAAGGTTGAAAACTAAAAGCAAAACAATGTTTTCCAAAATTTCTGAAAATTCTCAGAATTTTAGTGGGGTTTTTTTCGAAAGGAAATTTTGTCTCCGCAAGGTAAAACTAAGTGATTTCTCTGAATAAATCAGCAGACGCCGAAGTTGACAAAAGTTCGCCATCATGTTTTGTAGCTCACCTATGCCTTGGTCAACAACATGCATACCTCATTATGATTTCAGATCCAGCTCTCCTGCCTCCAAACCCTTTCCTCCATTCCCGCCTTGGTCCCAAGGAGAACTCTCTTGGTTTCAAAGCTGGGATAAGCGCCCTTTTCTTCCTTCGTATAGCTGCTCTCCGCTTTCGTAATTGTTTGATAGTATGATGTGAGTCGTCGCCATGTTTGTCTAGAAATTCTGTAATCTTTGAGTCGAGTTCGTCTCCATCCTCGGCTGACCAAAGTGCATCTTCGATTGCTTCACGCATTTCGTCCGAAATATTCTGTCGGCGTTCTAGGAACACTTCGATCACGCCGGCTTTTACAGTCATGTGTTCGTCATGCTTTAGAGCTCGCAGTAAGTGATGGTCAGTGTCATGGAATGGAAGTTTGCGTAATGCGGATACAGCGGAGTAACGGATCCCGGAGCTGTCGTGGTCCAAATGACGGATGATTGTGTTTAGAGATGACGCATGACCTAAGTTACCAAAAGCCCATATATGGTTGCGAAGGTATGTCTCACGTAATTCGCTTTCGTCGTCATGGAAACGGGATGGATGGGTTTTAAAGCTCTGGTGAAGATGTTGTGCAATGCTATCAGACAGCGACCTGTTATAGCCAGCTTCATGAACACGACGAACCAACCCCGACATAACCAACATTGCTCGGACGGTGACCTCCTCACTTTTACTGTTGTTTTTATGAAGAGATAGCAGCGCTTGTAATAGTTCCGAGTATAGAGGTCCGGCCGGAATAAAGAACACTGCCTCAAGCAGTATCGAGTGTTCTTTATCAGTGAGGGGCCGCGGGTCCTCGGACAAAAGTGCCCTTGTTAATATCTTCTGCGTCTCATAGTCCCCTTTAACAACAAGAGCTCCGACTAACCCCGACCATGTAGAAAAATTCTGATGGCTGCGCGATAATGTGAGCTCGGCTATGTTTCGGTGAGTCTCGTCGTCGGTTCGGGCTAGATAATGAAGTTCTTTGATACACTGCGATAGTTCGTTTTTCTTTACGGAAGGATCTGAATAACATCGGAGCAGTTCGTAAAACGTTCGGGTTGGTTTCTTTTGATTACCGATGTCCGACCACCGCCTGCGATGCACATCGCCGTGAGTTAAAGTATCCTGTTTTAGATTAGCCAGTGAGGACGCAGCTTTCTCATTTCCTGAGGACCTTTTACTCCGCCGAGGTTTCCTTGAACAGCTAAGCAAGTTAAGGTGGCTTTCTCCGGATGCTTTCATATTAAAATCAGGTTGATTTTGAAAATCAGGGTTATTTAAGTGCCTTTTGTACGGGTTTTCGTCATGCAACTGAGAGAAGTGTGTTCTCTTTACAGATTTAATGGCGTTGTCTTCAATCTTTACAGCCGAGTTGTAGCGACTTTTAACATGTTGTTTGCCCTCCACAGGTCGTCCGTCTGCATGTTTCGTGTAATCGTCGCCATTCCATTGTTTTGTGAAGTCGACGTGAGTGGTGTTTCTATGGATGACGTCATAGTAGGTCACGTGGACACCGGAGTCGTCTTCTTCTTCGATATTGGATGACGTCATCTTGAAGTCTGGGTGGAGCTTCAGGTGAAAGGCACTTACGACACCTGGAAAGAATGAAAAAGTTCTAGAATTAGGATTAGTAAAGGGTTAGGAATGGGATTAATATTATGTTTGAATTAGGGGAACGATAAGGGTCAGGATTGTGATTCCAAGGATTAATTCGCTATAGACAACGAGGCCGAGTTGTCTAATTGTTTTGGTGACTGTAGTATATACTCCTACTGAAAATACTAACTCCAACCACAATTGGAAAGATTTAAATGAAATTTAAAAGCATGCACGAGCGTTTGACGGACTTCTTTCAACCTTCGCATGCTTTGCCTGTGGTTTTTGTTTACCTTTGGCAAACATCTCAGCAAAAAGCGTTTCCAAAGTACACGGTTCGTGAGCCTTGAAAATGTTTTAAAACAGGCCGAATAACAGTCATGATATTAAGGAAAAAGAGGACGACTTACTGTCATTCCAATTGAAGTGTTGCTCAAATATTGATTCAATACATTACCTCAGGCTGACCAATTCATTTCATCAAGTTTCTCGACATATTCATACACTTCCTGTGAAAGAGCCAATTCCAAGAATTTGATCATTTCTGGTCACTTCCTTTCAATTTATGATTGGTTAGTTGCACAAACAACAAAGGTGATTGGTGCATTCAAACTATTCAACAGGAAGTTTACAATTATACTAGGAAGTGTATGAATATTTCGAGGAACTTGATGAAATTAATTGGTCAGCCCGAGGTAATGTATTGAATCAATATTTGAGGAACACTTCAATTGGAACGACAGTAAAAGTCCAGAACTTAACTGATGTTTTCAAACTGCAAACAATATGGATTCCCGAAACGTTGCAGTAGTTCACATTGAGAAACGTATAAAATGCACGCCAAGCAATCCTGATGTGGTGAAATCGATTAAATACATCAGAGAATAACTGAAAAACAATACTGCCAACTGACATGCATAGGCAAAATTTAACATTAAAATTATATTGAAAAACTCGAAAATCGGAAGCACACAAAAAGTCCATTCATTTAAAATATTACAGCTATTAACATAAAAAAAAACATATCATTAATTAATTAGCTACAAGCAACTGGAATTTCAACGTCTTTGCGCGCCTGTAATATGCACAAAAAAATGTGCTCTGTATTCTGTAATTCCGTCCCACTGTCTGTCTTCGTGTCACATTTTTTGGCAAGTAGCGGCAAATTTATTATTAAAATATGGTTTAAATTTGGCTCCCTACCTTTAAACGTCTTCAGATAGTCTTGGTTTTTTATTTCATATAAAACCTTTCGAAAACAAATTTTCCACCATCTTTTTTATTATTTTAACCGTGCCTGTTGACAATTTCTAGGGAGAACTGCTTAGAACTGACGGAACTTTAATGAAGCCAGCCTAATTTAGCTATAATGTTTTTTTCTAAACGTATAATGAATCCAATAAATTTACCTTTCTTCATTCCAACAAGGTCAGGAGAATCATCATGTGGATAAAACACATGAGTCACTTCTCCGTTGGGATTCTGAACGAAGAAAAATGGCTGAGATAGTTTCTCTTCCAAGTTGTGGTCAACGACATGTTTGATTGTTCGTCCTCCTTTCGTGCGAATGACGCGTGGATGACGTAATTCAAGCTTGATTACGTAACGATCGACTTCTGCATCGTGACGGTCAAGTACTTCAAGGTTTACCTAATGTTTCAAAACAATATATTGATATAATTTGGAATTTTGTTGGCTAAACTGAACAGAAAGGTTAGAGTTATTCGATAAAGCTGTTCGATAAAGCCAATAAGCTTAACCCTAGGTTAAACTAAAATTCAAAGTAAACGTCCCAGCATGCAGTTTGTTTACAAATTTTGAAATGTTTCTTTAGAAATCGTGTCTGGATCAGTGGTAGTTGTCTTCTCATAATTTCTTCATTGATATTAATCGTCTTCGTAATCATATTCAAAAACTCATTAATTAATATAATTCATGAAGAAATCACAAAGAAAATCATAAGCGTGTCGTATCCATAGATATCTTATATACACTAGATAGAGAATCTCTTTTAGTAAAATTGAAGCCAAGAATATTCCAGCGGTTACCCCCATTTGAATAGATGGCGGCCATGTTGGTAGTTCCCACTCGCTAATAAACGCTTAAAAAACAACAATAACTTTCGTCATTTGAATAGTTTAAAAATGTGTTTTGAATAGGTTTAACTTAATGTTCCCTGTTTAAGAAATAGAAAACATACGAATCTTCTCATTTCAGAGGAATATCCTGAGTCTGCAATCACGGCTACAATTTTTGAATTGCAGAATAATTAGATGCACTATCTAGTGTATATATAAGATATCTATGGTCGTATCTTTATATGTGATAGCTAGAGATTTCCCTTGATTTACATAAACTTTAACTTTGATTTTCTCAACTTACACAACGTATTTTTTTAATATTACTTCGCCACTGAACTTACTAGATCGATCGTTTTTGAATCAATTTTTAAAAAACATTCGCAGTGCGTGTTTTATCAGACGTAAAGATACTCGACTTCGCCTCGTATCTTTATGTCTGATCATACAAGGCATGCTGCTAAACAATCGTATTATATTCCTGATGTGCGAAATAATTTTGGAACGTTTATAGGTCCAACAGTTTGGAACTCTATTAAAAAAGACATTAAGATCTGCTCAATTAAATATAAAATGAAGCAGAATGTGTTAAATCTTTATTAAATATGTGTGTAACATATTGAACTATGAACATTTACCTACATATTTTTCTAATTTTGCCGAAATTTTGTTTTAATTAATACACGGTGTGTCATGTAGTGTGTGTTGTTGTGTGTTGTAATTTTGTAGCATATATGATATAATGATTTCCTCTTTCCTCCGCCTGTTCATAGCAAAAAATAAATATTCTGGCCAGTTTTAATCCAAAAAGATTATTTCTAGGGGCCAGTATCCTTTGATATTACTCAGTTTAATCGATCTTTAACTGTACGTTATTAAAATTGTATATTCATGTCAATCAGGGGAAATAATTATAGATATAATTAGATAGATGGTCTAATTGCACATATGCCTATTATCGTATTCCTGTAAGAATGAATTGCCGTATGCAGTAGCCTAGCCGAGGGGGCCCAATCGCCAAAAAAATTCTCTGAAAAAGTCTAAATCCGTAGAGAAATTGGAGGGGGCCTCAGGGGGGGGGGGGTGGTACACGTTACATGCTCGAAGCTGAAACTGATTAAGTACGTCTCGACTGAGGAAAACGACGATATACTGGAGGAACTTGATTTGTTCGTGCAGTTGTAGATATGGTTCCAGGAAAATAGTCAAATTTAGTTTAGATTTACATGTATATGCATTATCATAACATGAATATTCTTCTCAGACTCATTCTGTATCCGGTGTCGTATAAAAAAGCAACACAATTTTGAGAATGCGGAAATGGTGTCTCATAGAACCTAGACTGATGATTTAAATGTAACATTTCTGATCAAAATCACATTGGGATTTTCTTCCCCCAGCATCACAGAGGGAAAATAAGGTGACGCTGACCCCTCTTGTTTTTCAAGGTGACTTTTCCAATTTATTTAATTCCGAGTAGAAATGTCTGGGAAAATTTAGTTTGATGTACTTTATAAACTTCGGAATTCTGCAACATTTCACCCCCAAAATGCTTGACTCAGGGACTCAAAATTTGAAAATTTTCCCGGGGACGGAAGTGGGACCTAAACTCACATCTTCGGATCTAGACAGCCGCTCTACCCATATCGAGTCAACGGGGATTGGTAACGAGACTTATAAGTCGCCGCGAAAATATTTAACAATAATATGAAACTCGTTTTCCATATCTCTGAGGATGGTCCTGTAAAAAATTGAGCTTTTGAGGCAGTCAGTATTTTGAAATTGCAACTCGAGAACCATGAAAAATGACAGTTTAACCTCAGGACTCGTATGATTAACCCATAATTTGGTCAATGATCAATCGCACTGATATTTTCACAAATTTTGTGCTATAATAAAAACAAACGGTTTAAAAAATGTTAGTTCCTCCTCTTGAATGTACTTGGTTGAGTAAGCAGGCCGAGTCGGCTGACATTTGCCCGGATGGATTGAGTACACAAAAATTGATTTGTTGAAGGCTTCGAACGCGCGTAAGAAGGGCTCTGGGTACGAGAATGGCTTTCACCTTGCATGTTTGGCCTTATTTGGTAAAACACGCCACTGCATGCATAAAATAACAATTCAGTATAGTGTTACTAAAAGATTATTGACGTTGTGCAAGGCACATAATATTAATTGCATTCACACGTGACGATATAGGTTATGATTTATGAAACGGCGTAATATTCTACTATTCCACAACGGCGTAATATTCTACTATTCCACAACGGCGTAATATTCGGCGTAGTATTCTAATATTCTACTATTCCACTAAAAGTACATTTCCAAGGTCGGATCGTCAGAGCAACCGCGCTCTTCAACTCCAAATATGTAACGAACACTTTGACACTGATTAACACATAGTAGTATAATCGCGACAGCCGGAATTATTAATGATAGACATAGCATTTTATTGACGCAATTAGACGGTCATGATAGGACATGAAAGCAAACTTGGTATGTGAACATCATGAATTTACAGTAATCCAATGAAAACCAGACTATGAAGAGATATTTTAAACATAGTGAATTTTAGATTGGAGTTGATCTCTTTTACTTGATAATTCTAGCAGTTACAATTAAGGGGAATAAAAATGCATGAATACACTAACAAAAAGAAGAATCATAAGCGTGTCGTATCTTTATACGTGATAGACTGATATTTCCCTTGATTTACATAAACTTTAACTTTGATTTTCTCGACTTACCACACACTTATACACAACGTATTTTTTGAAAATTACTTCGCCAATGAACTTACTAGATCGATCGTTTTTGAAGCAATTTAAAACATAGATTTCGCAGTGCGTGTTTTATCAGACCTAAAGATACTCGGCTTCGCCTCGTATCTTTGACTTTATATCCGATGAAACACTGCTGCTCTCATAAAGCGTAAAAATCGTCTCATGCTATGCAATGTTAGCAGCTTCAGTTCGCTGCCCATCTCCTGAGAACATTTTCGCTTGCCTTGTTGAAGGATAATCCTTGTTCCGCACTCATGCCAAACAGTTGAACCAAAATGAGTACTATAGTTTGTTTGTAGATATACGCGGAATAAACTGAATTACGAAAGGTAAAAATGACGAGATGCGATTGAGTAAGCCAAGTTTCGGATACAAGCGTTGACATATTCTGCTAACATGCTGTTCCCATGAAAGAATATTGCTTATTCGAACACCGAGATAGTCAAATGTAGTGACCACATCAAGGATCTCATTGTCCAGATAGATTTCGATATCATTGACAAAATAAGACTGAAATTGTAAAGGAGGGAAATCTTATGGGAGGTTACTATTCCTGAGCGGTTTATGTTCATGTACCAGGGGCCCGAGTCAAATTGGAAGCACTCTTCTAAAATGCACAGATAGTAAAAGCACCTACCAGGGGTAATGCCGTGTTGGACCTAATTATTACGGACATACATAAGTTTTACGAACTGAGGCAATACATATGATATGATCAGACACTGACTACGGTCGGCTCTACAGTTTCAGATTCGCAGTTTCAGATTCACATTCAGATTCAAATATGAAAATCGATCAGGTGTCTGGCGCATAAAATGTCAAATTACTCAGTTTCTTTCTACGCAATAAACTTGTTAACAAATTTCGTTCTTCTTCAGAACATTACACATTGAACAAATGTATTTTGAAGGCTTTAGCACAAAATGTGAAGTCAGGAAAAATCGCAAAAGATAGACGATCAAGACGTGAATTCATGCCGCGCCATATTGCCGCAAGTGATCGGCAATATTATATTTCTCTGTCTAAAGCAAAATACCCGTTGTAGCTCCCTAATCTCTGAAATTCATTCACTACTACATTATACTGAATGGTATAAAGTAAACAAAATCCTGAAAACGTTTGTCGTTTTGTCAGGAAAAATCGCAAAACGTAGCTGACGCGAACCGGCTTTTGTAACCCGAAGCGAATGACAACAACGCAGCTGAGCGAATAAATCCTTCTCACGCATTACACGTTTACATTGAAATATTTTCCAGCAAATTCATTCTTCTACAACTCTCATAGAATGATATAACGCACTCGCTTCAAATAACTTCTGATTCAGCAGGAAAAATCGCAGAACTGCCACTTGAGAAGACAACTCGTGCTGGACTAAAAAATCTGGATGGGCATTGGAAGTCTCCTGCTAGTCCGCTTAGTGTGATACAAGTGCATTTTTTTCTTATGTGTGGGATGGTAGACGGTATGTGTAGAATTATAGACGTTATATGTGTAGAATAATAGACGGAATGACTAACCGCCCCCACCCCACCCCCACTCCAACCCCCGATTTTATTGTTCCACATTAAAATTTCTCGCAGTTTTCGCATTAATACACGGCTTTCAGATTCGCACTAGAATGGTGATAATCCTTTTGTCAGAAAAAATCTCAAAATATTTTAGCATTACTCCATTAATACAGAATCGTTATCTAAGCAACAATATATTAAACTTTACAATATGTGCAAATTCGGTTGATGTGTTACTTATAATTCTTCATGTTTCTAACTTATCATTAAATCACTATCCCTTTATATAATTTCTTTACACCGTATCGGGGTTTTTGTACAATGTTAAGCTGTGAAAATGCAAGCGGAATAATGCAGATGAATTTGTCAACCTAAAATATATATATATATATATATATATATATATATATATATATATATATATATATATATATATATATATATATATATATATATATATATATATATATATATATATATATCTTGGCTTTTATTTTGCTTTAGGTTGCATAAATTAGATCTCATTTGCCGGGTTTTGAGTGTATATAAGAGCAGATAATCGATCACACACTCAAATCCCTTCATATTATTACACATGACAGAGCGATTTCAAACTCTTTCTCCGTGAAAACAATACGGCCAAGCATTATAAGTCACTAGTTTTAAATATGCTGGCATAGATCCACTATTATGAAAACTGAATGCACTTGTATCAGACTAAGCGGACCAGCAGGAGACTTCCAATGCCCATCCAGATTTTTTAGTCGAACACGAGTTGTCTTCTGCGATTTTTCCTGCTGAAACCAGAAGTTGCTTGAAGCTAACGAGTGCGTTAAATCATTCTATGATAGTTGTAGGAGAATGGTTTTGCTGGAAAATATTTCAATGTAAACGTGTGATGCGTGAGAAGGATTTATTCTCTCAGCTGCGTTGTTGTCATTCGCTTCGGGTTACAAAAGCCGGTTCGCGTCAGCTACGTTTTGCGATTTTTCCTGACAAAACGACAAACGTTTTCAAGATCTAGTTTACTTTATACCATTCAGTATAATGTAGTAATGAATGAATTTTAGAGATTAGGGAGTTACAACGTGTATTCTGCTTTACACAGCGAAATATAATATTGCCAATCACTTGCGACAATATGGCGCAGCATGAATTCACGTCTTGATCGTCTGTCTTTTGCGATTTTCCCTGCACGCACACAATGGTGTATCGCAATGAAAACCGCGTCAAATGAAGCGCACCATAATGTAGATGAATGAAAATCTTTACGGTATGGGCTGCATTAAAACTGTTGCAGTGGTTTAGCGATTTGTGCAGATTTTCACTGTTTTAGTGCGAATCTGAAAATGAATGTGAAACTACGGGAAATTTCAATATGGAACAATAAAGTCCGGGGGGTCAGTCATTCTATCATTCTACACATAGAGCAATCTCAAATACTTTTTCCACGAAAACAATATGACCAAGCATTATAAAATTTTAAATATGCTGGCATACATCTTCTATTAAGAAAAAAATGCACTTATATCAGACTAAGCAGACTTGCAGAAGAATTCCAATACCCACCCGGATTTTTGAGTCCAGCACGAGTTCCAACGAGTTGTCTTTTACGATTTTTCCTGCTGAAACCAGAAGTTGTTTGAAGCTAACGAGTGCGTTATATCATTCTATGATAGTTGTAGTAGAATGGATTTGCTGGAAAATATTTCAATGTAAACGTGTAATGCGTGAGAAGGATTTATTCGCTCAGCTGCGTTGTTGTCATTCGCTTCGGGTTACAAAAGCCGGTTCGCGTCAGCTACGTTTTGCGATTTTTCCTGACAAAACGACAAACGGTTTTGAGATCTAGTTTACTTTATGCCATTCACTATAATGTTGTAATGAATGAATTTTAGAGATTAGGGAGCTACAACGGGTATTTTGCTTTACACAGCGAAATATAATATTGCCGATCACTTGTGACAATATGGCGCAGCGTGAATTCACGTCTTGATCGTCTGTCTTTTGCGATTTTTACTGCACGCACACAATGGTGAATCGCAATGACAACCGCGTCAAATGAAGCGCACAATAATGTAGATAAATGAAAATCTTTACGGTATGGGCTGCATTAAAACTGTTGCAGTGGTTTAGCGATTTGTGCAGATTATCACTGTTTTAGTGCGAATCTGAAAATGAATGTGAAACTACGGGAAATTTCAATATGGAACAATAAAATCCGGGGGGTCAGTCATTCTATCATTCTACATATAAAACGATTTCAAGTACTTTTTCCGCGAAAAAAATACGGCTAAACATTACAATTTTTTATATATGCTGGCATGGATCCACTATTAAGTAAAAAATGCATTATGTCGGACTGAGCGGACTTGCAGGAGAGTTCCAATGGCCACCCGGATTTTTGAGTGCAGCACGAGTTCCAACGAGTTGTCTTTTGCGATTTTTCCTGCTGAAACTAGAAGTTGTTTGAAGCTAACGAGTGCGTTATATCATTCTATGATAGTTGTAGTAGAATGGTTTTGCTGGAAAATATTTCAGTGTAAACGTGTAATGCGTGAGAAGGATTTATTCGCTCAGCTGCGTTGTTGTCATTCGCTTCGGGTTACAAAAGCCGGTTCGCGTCAGCTACGTTTTGCGATTTTTCCTGACAAAACGACAAACGTTTTCAGGATCTAGTTTACTTTATACCATTCAGTATAATGTAGTAGTGAATGAATTTCAGAGATTAGGGAGCTACAACGGGTATTTTGCTTTAGACAGAGAAATATAATATTGCCGATCACTTGCGGCAATATGGCGCAGCATGAATTCACGTCTTGATCGTCTATCTTTTGCGATTTTTCCTGACTTCACATTTTGCGCTAAAGCCTTCAAAATACATTTGTTCAATGTGTAATGTTCTGAAGAAGAATGAAATTCGTTAACAAGTTTATTGCGTAGAAAGAAACTGAGTAATTCGACATTTTATGCGCCAGACACCTGATCGATTTTCATATTTGAATCTGAATGTGAATCTGAAACTGCGAATCTGAAACTGTAGAGCTGACCGTTTATGTATGTCCCTGATAAAACGTAGGACACTTCATACCAGATATAATAAAAAATACTTTGCTAAACCTATTCGGCTGTCATTCCTTTGCATTTAAGGGGAGAGGGTAAATGGCGATAGAATTTATAGGAGATGCTGTGCAATATTTTGGCTTCAACAAACAGGTACTCGTGCAGACGAAAAAGGAAATTCTTGCAGTTATGAATTGTCGTATGTCAGCTGTGCACTGTCGATTTCAAACAATTTTGTACGTTATATTTTGTCTTCCTGGTGTTTAATATAAACGATGATAGCCATTTAAAAAAAAAATCTAGAGCAATATGTCTATAAACAGTTGAATCAATAGAATGGACATTCACAATGTGTATTTGGCTTGTGTCCAAATGTGTCACGTTTAAGACCGGCAAGGCGCTAATCCTACGACCTATAAACAGTCACTTTCGAGACATCTGTTTAACAAAATTTATACCATGTCCATATCAGAACAATTCATTGGCATATTATAAGCATATTATAAATATCAGAGCCACAACAGAAACGTATGCGTGAAATAAAACTACGCCCGAACCGACGAACCCCGAGAAAATAAAAATATTTCAAAGCGTACAGTCATATGTTCTCGTTGCTTGATTTCCTGAATTTTCTGTTGCCATAAGAATCTGCATTTTAGCATGTTTGTATAATTTAAAAGCAAACAGAAACCAATTTAGCAAGTAGTTTGAGGTATATATGATTCTTGAAGATGAATTAATGATTGTACAGAACGGCCACTCCTTGCAATCGAAGTGCGGAAGTGGAAACATGTAATACGAGATTTTTCCACCC